GCCACCAAGCCTGAAGACCTGAGTTGACTGCCTGGGACCTACATGATGTGGAAGGAGAAAACTGGCTCCCTGAGAGTTGTCTTCTGACCTCCACATTGGCACTGTGGCATACGTCCCCCCGATAAATAATTGTAATTTAAAAAATTAATCTCCCCTCAAAATATCATAGTGCATAGTCAAATCACTAAAGGACAGCAAGCTGTGTTTGGCTCTGGTAGGTAGGCAGTGGGGAGCTATGAAAGGAGTTTGAGCATATGCTGAAAGATAGGTCTGGAGGTATATGGTGGCACATGCCTGAAAATCCCAGCAGTCCAGAGGCTGAGGCAGGAAGATTGCAAATTGCAGGTTATATTGGGCTATAATGTGAGACCCTGTCTGAAATAAAAGAGGGGAGGAACCAAAAACAAAACAAAAATGGGTGTGGTGGTGCTTGCCATTGATTCCAGCACTTGGGAGGCAGGGGCAGGAGGATCTCTGTAAGATTGAGGCCAACCTGGTCTACATAGTGAGTTCCAGCCCGGCTGGGGCTATAGGGAGACCCTGACTCAAAAAACAAAGAGGGAGGGGGGTTGGTGAGAAGGCTCAGTGGGTAAAGGTACAAGCCACCAAGCCTGAGGACCTGAATTGGAACCCGGGACCCTCCTGGTGGAAGGAAAAAAATTGTCTTCTGTAAGTTGTCCTCTGACCTTCACTCATGGGCCGTGGCACACCTGTGCTCACAAATGCCAAATCAATAATCACAAAGAAAAAAAAAAAAGGAGTGGTTGGTTGCCTTCTATAGGATAAAGAGAACTCTAAGACTGAAAGTTAGCCCAGCAGCCAGATATGAGGAGGCCTTGGCCCAGAACAGTACAAAGCACAAAAGGATGGTTGAGTTGAAAGCATTCCAAAGAAAGAATCAACAGTTCTTTATGGTTAGCCGAGAGAGTAATGAGATGGCTAGTGGCATGGCTGGGTGGCCTGTGGCAACACGGTAGGAAACAGGGCTTCTGGGAATGAGTGACACTGCATCACCATCTGGATTCCTATTACTAGAGACTGGCAACAAGCTCAAATGATTTAAACTAAAAAAGTCTTGCAGGTGTTGAGATGGCTCAGTGGGTAAAAGCACTCACCATACAAGCCTGACCTGAATTTGATTCTAGGAACCCAAGTAAGCGCTCTCCCATTTCTTAAATGGGAGGTGGGAACAGGAGAATTGCCTAGGATCTCTGGAGTCAGCTAGCCACAAAAATAGAGACCCTGCCTCAAAAACAAGACAAGAAGATGAGGACTGACTCTGAAAAGTTGTCCTCTTTTTTTAATACAAAAACCCCCCTCTCTCTCTCTCTCTCTCTCTCTCTCTCTCTCTCTCTCTCTCTCCCCACATTCACACACACTCTCTCTCTCTCTCTCTCTCTCTCTCTCTCTCTCTCTCTCACACACACACATACACACACACACAATTTGCTGCCCTTTATCATCAAGAAGTCCTAAGTTCTGAGTGAGGGCTTTGGGTACATCTGGGTGTCATTTTCCAAGTGATGTCACAAGCCTTTTTCTTCTGTTCCACACAGGACAAAAATGCCACCGACAGCTCCAGGCTTCTGTCCTACCAGCTGAGCACAGGTCCTGGGGTGTCTGCATTAACCAGAATTGGGAACCAGTGTTACCCGCCAGATGACCAGAAGTCTGATAGAACAGACTGAGGCTGTATATACTCCCCTGAAGCCAGGGGCTGGGGTCAGCCTCTGCCTACTCAAAGTGAGGGAGAATAGCTCTCTAAAGGAAGTTTGGGAGTTAGTCTAACAAAGGACTAGGGCAAAACAGTAGAGCTGTTTATAAGCAAACACTGCTCTCCACTTAGCCAAAAGATTTACAGATTCCCCAAATAATGTAGAACTCCTTTCCTGTCTACCCTATTGCATCCATCAATCACAAACTGTGGTTGCCCCATCAGTGGAAAGAGCAAGTTCACATCCCAACCACATCCAGCCCCAATTGAAGATTTGGCTATGACTTGTCTCATTAAGTAGTAAACTGGCCTACAGGGTCTTTCTGTTTATGGCTAGACTACAATGATGGAGAAAAAAATTGGATAGCTAAAAGAATAATGAGCCAGCTCATTGTGAAGGGGGGGGGGAGGAAAAACACGCAGTCCATAGTCCACACACTTGACTGGCCCTCAGAGGACTGACCACTGCCCTGATTCTGTGGTCTCCATTCTTGGTGCTCTGAGACCACTTGTGAGAGGAGGACTAGTGGGTTCATGTCTGGGGAGGGAGCAGGGGCACAATCTTAGGGGCTGAGTAATCCTAGCCTTTGTTTTGCATGTTTTTCTGGCAACACAATGTCTTTCAGTCAACTTGCCTTCTTTATACACTGAGCTTTTCTAGAGAGACCTCATTGGAAGTTGTCATTCTTGAATGGACTCTCTGGTGGCGGTGGTGAGGGAGAATAGGGGCTTGTCTCTTAGCAACAGGACCCCATGTGCCCACTGCAGGCACCCAGGCTTGGTCGGGGGTCCTCTAGCTTGGCCCCTTCCAACTCAAGCTGCACGCCTTACAGAGGCTGCTTATAATGGAAGGGTCCATGGAGCAGGCACAGCAGAGCCTTAGAAGTCAAGAGCCAGGTCAGGCCCCAGGCTGCCCTCCCTCTGAGTTTCCTGCCTCCTCCCTTTGCTTGAGCTGACTTTAGGTTAAAGCAAAGAGCTGACTCTTAATTATCTGACTCTCAGCCATATCGTATTACTGGCCCCAGGCAGAATTAAGCAGCCACTCCAGGCAACTCATTTTCTCCCCAGTGTTTTCAGCTGGGCTGAAGTGAGTTTCTTTCTTATCTGACCTTACTGAAGGGTCTATGGGAAAGACTCCAGTACCGTACCAACATCCTGACATTTTCCTGCTATCCCCCTAAAGTAGCACCCTTGGGGGTGCTCCAGGGGGCTGTGGGTCAGTCTAGCCAGTTGATTTGCTGTTGTGACAGGGTTCTGCAACTTTTGACTAGGGAGTGAGGGAGTCCTTCTTGCTGTGATAAAATACTCAACAAAAAGCAGCTTAAGGGAGAAAAGGTTTATTTCAGCTCGTAGTTCAGGGTGTGGTTCATCGTGGTGGGGAAGTCAAGGCAGCGGGGGCCTGAAGCAGGTCACATTGCAGAGAATGAGTTGGAGGCAAGTTGCTGCTCAGTTCCCTTTTTCCATTTATACAGTCCAGGATCCTAGTCAGAATCATAAACACCCACAGTGAACAGTTTTCCCACCTCAAAGAAATCAAGATGATCCCCCAGAGGCCCATCTCCCAGAAGATTCTAGATTCTATGAATGTGACTATTAATACTAACTATCACGGGGCCAGGGAGATGGCTTGGGGTGCAGGGTGTAGGCACTCAGCTGGTAGAGGAGCCACCAACCAACCCTGAGGGAACTCAAGTTTGATTCATGGATCCCATATGGTAAAAGGAGAGGACACCGCAAGTTGTGCTCTGACCTTTACAGTCATGCTATGGCTGTGTGTCCCCTTCCCCCCAATAAGTGGATAAAAATGTAAAGAAAAAAAGCCAGTAACCATCACAGGGTTATTTGAAAAAGGAATTCTGTCTCTATTCTAATTTCTCAGAACTTCCTCTTGGTATAAGGAACACAGACCTAACTGTAACTATTATAGCTTGAGAGAGAGAGAGAGAGAGAGAGAATGAATTGATTGATTGCCTACATAATTAACAGGCCAGGACCCCACCATGTCTGGATTCTCTTTCCACCCCAGTGTTACCTCAGTCCCAGGTGGTTCCTCCTCGGAGAGACAAAGGTGACCCCAGCAGCTCTGACTAGATCTGGATCCAAAGAGCATATATCCTTTCCACCCAGTAGTTCTAGAATGGTCTTGGGGTTCATTGGTTCAACTTGGATTAACTGTGCCTATCTCAGAACTCTGACTGGCCAGGACTATGTCACAATCTCTAGGCCACATAGGTGGACTGAGAAGTGTGAAAGGACAGCTGGATCCTCAAGGTCAAAACAGGGTGCTGATACCAGGAGAGGCTGTGTGCTGGGTTACTAAGGAAACAAGCATCTGTCTATCTATCCATGTGGAAATGGCAGCAGCCCCTCAGGAAGGAGAGGCAGAGCAGCTTCAAAGCGTGAATTGGTAGGAGTAGATACAGGCAGGGATGTGGAGGGTGCCCCACCAAGAAGCAGGACCTTTAGGAATGCAGGAACAGAAAGTCCCAGACCTGATTATCAGGTGGTTTGTGACCCTGATAGCAGAGGTTTGGGACAGCAGAGGGTGGATGAAGCCTGAATACAGTAGTTAGGAAAAAGATAGCAGTGGGCCAGGAAGATGGTTCAGTGGGTAAATGTACTTGGGTACCAAGCCTGACGACCTGAGTTTGATCTCTGAATCCACTTGGTAGACAGAAAGAACTAATTCCAGCAAGTTGCCCCCTGACCTCCACACATGCATTGTGGTGCACAGCACATGTACACACACACACACACAAATAAATTAATTAAAAAAAATTTTTAGAGGATAGCAATAAGATAGGGGTGGAAAATCTACAAACCATAGTGGGGGGCGGAGGGTGGGCAGCAGGAGTTGAGGACAGAAATGAGATGCCAGAATAGGTAGAGTTTTTTTTTTTCTTCTTCCAGAATAGGTACAGTTTTGTGGCAGAAATGGTATGAAAGACAGAAAATATAGGGCCTTTGGGAAGGAAGGGCAGGAACACTCATTCCAGGCCAACTTAACTTTATCTGGGACTAAGGAAAGGATCTACATACCTGTGTTATACTTGAATCAGAGAGGAATGCCATGCAGTGATGGTCTAATTAAGAGTCCTTTATTTGCTGGTGGTTGAGACTGGGTTAATGGCAGAAAGAACTCGACCCCAAGGAGAGGCAGGGTAGGGTTTATAAAGCCAAAAACCACAATTACATCATTACCAGGTGTATCACAGATAACAAGTTTCCAGGTTACAGTTGAACAAGACAAGTTTCTCAGCATTGTGGAAACAATGGGCTTCCTGGAACTGCAGGTGTAGCTGCAGACAGGGATGTTCTAGCTGGCTGGGTGAAACACAAAATGCCTATAAGCACAAAGTGCAGTCAGCTAAAACAAAATGGAGTCATTCTGGGCAATTCATTCCCCACTGGTCTTAGGGCAGAGTTAAAGTGTTGACTCATAATCCTAAAGTGACGAAGGGTTGTACTGTGTCCTCAGGTACATCAACTTAACAGAGGCTATTCATTGTTTGACAACATTTTATAACCAGTTAATTAGGCAAGGCCCAATCACTGGACTCAGAAGGAAAAGGGTAAGAGGACCTTCAAGGCCTATGAGCAAGGTGATCAGCCATGGATTTCAATCAAACCATCAATGGAACCACAAACTCTTGGCCTCTCATTTTCTTTGGCTTTTTGTAAGGTATCTTTAAAAATATATGTTTTTTTAATGTGTGTGAATGTATTGTCTGCATATATGTGAGTGCACCCATGCAATGCTGCGGAGGTCAGAAGAGGGTTTTGGATTCCCCTGGAACTGGGACTGTTAAGGACAGTTCGTAGCCGCCATGTGGGTGCTGGGACTCAAACCCGGGTCCTCTGCAAGAGCAGTCAGTGCTCTTAACCACTGAGCCATTTCTCCAGCTCCTGTAAGGTATCTTTAATGAGGCCTGATTTATTTGCATAGAAACAGCAAGCTTCCCCTTGTGACATGAACAATAAGTCCAACCCATGCCTGTTTTGAAGGACCATTTTGGCCAAAGACTCAGCCTAGTTACATAACATTGACACAGACTGTAGATGTCCTAGGTCAGTATCAATTTATTGTGTCATCTGGGGCATTCCAAGTTCCCCATTTATCTAGGGCTGCCATTCCAGCTATGCCTAGTCCTACTAGGATGGGGACCAACAAGGGGGCTGCTTGCTTATGGTGAGGCTGTAGGCTGGGAGAGAACATAATATGGGTGCCCTTGGGGCCACAATAAGCATATGCCTGAGGGAGAACATGCATTTGGTGAATCCAGAGGTGCAGGCTAACCAGGACCTATTTGGTGAAAAGTAAGCTTGGAAGGTGGACAGGCTGAGTGAGACAGTTATTGCAGGACATGGAGAAGAGAGATTTCTGGAGGTCGTAGTTAGGGATGTCTAAGCATGAAGCATTAACCTCTGAATCTCCTAGATAGAGTTAGCAGTGGAGCAGAGAGGGGACAGGTAGACTTGTGCTGGTATCTATTGGAGCCTTCACCCCTAAGCCTATATCATAAGGTGGCTTAGGTTTTAAATATATATTTATTATTTTTATTTTATGTGTATGTGTATTTCATGCATGTATGTAAGTGCACCTGTATCGTGCAATGTCCACGGAGGTCATAAGAAGGTGTCAGATCCCCTGAAACTCAGTTATGGATGGTTGTTAGCTGTCATGTGGGTGCTGGGAACCAAACCCAGGTCCTTGGAGAGCAGCCAGTGCTCTTAACTGCTGAGCCATCTCTCCAGCCCCCTCATTTTTGTTTCTATGAGACAGAGTCTCATGTAGATAGGCTGGCCTGGACTTTTGGCTGTAGATGAGGATAACTGTGAACTCTGATCCTGTCTCCACCTCCCAAGTTCTGGGATTACAAGCACCTGCCACCACACTAGTGAGGCACATGTGGACACACACAATCATATATGCACAAACATGTAAATATTAACTAAAAAAAAATCCAGGGGTGATAGTGCATTCTTGTAATACCAGCACTTGGAAGGCAGAATTGTGAATTTGAGGCCAGCCTGGGACCAGCAGAAGGCACCACCTTGCTTTTGCAAGCCCTGGGGTCCGATCTCCCCCCAACCCTGGGGGGAAGGACTCATTCTCATGCACTGGTCTCAGAGTAGGCCACCCCCTTAGGGACGTGTGGCCATTGGTCTGCTTGGGTCCCTCCATTTTGGGCACGTGTTTCTTGTGCTCAGTTCATTCCTGAGTGGGGTACCGGGGCACGGGGCCTGGGTGTGGCGGGTGGGAGCAGGGATAGCAAGCTGCTGAGTCTCATTCCCTCTCTTCTAGCCTCCTGGGTCCTGGCTGCTGGCGCCTATAGCCACCCTGATCTCTCCGGCGGGGCCCAACTGCGGCCTCCCATGAGCGCGCCCGGCTGACCCGCGAGGCGGTGGCGGTGGAGCCGGCGCTCCAGAGGGGCGGCGGGACCATGGCCTCATTGGACCTTCCCTACCGCTGCCCCCGCTGCGGGGAGCACAAGCGCTTCCGGAGCCTATCGTCCTTGCGCGCGCACCTGGAATACAGCCACACCTACGAAACGCTCTACATCCTCTCCAAGACCAACAGCATCTGTGATGGCGCGGCCGCCGCAGCAGCCGCCGCGGCTGCAGCCTCGGGTTTCCCGCTGGCGCCCGAGCCCGCCGCCCTGCTGGCCGTGCCTGGTGCCCGGCGTGAGGTCTTCGAGAGCACGTCCTTCCAGGGCAAGGAGCAAACGGCGGGGCCAGCGCCCACTGGACCGCACCTGCTGCATCACCACCACCACCACGCGCCGCTCGCGCACTTCCCTGGGGACTTGGTGCCCGCCAGCCTGCCCTGCGAGGAACTGGCCGAGCCGGGCCTCGTGCCCACTGCCGCCGCGCGTTACGCGCTGCGCGAGATCGAGATCCCACTTGGGGAGCTGTTCGCGCGCAAGTCCGTGGCATCCTCGGCCTGCTCGACTCCGCCACCTGGGCCTGGCCCTGGTCCTTGCTCCGGGCCCGCCTCCGCATCGCCCGCATCCCCATCGCCTGCGGATGTTGCTTACGAAGAAGGTTTGGCACGCCTCAAGATCCGCGCGCTGGAGAAGCTGGAGGTGGACCGAAGGCTGGAGCGACTGAGCGAGGAGGTCGAGCAGAAGATAGCGGGCCAGGTGGGCAGGCTGCAGGCGGAGCTGGAGCGCAAGGCTGCGGAGCTGGAGACCGCGCGGCAGGAGAGCGCGAGACTGGGGCGGGAGAAAGAGGAGCTTGAGGAGCGCGCGTCAGAGCTCTCGCGCCAAGTGGATGTGAGCGTGGAGCTGCTGGCCTCTCTCAAGCAAGACCTGGTGCACAAAGAACAGGAGTTGAGCCGCAAGCAGCAGTGAGTAGACCCCCTCAGAGTCCAGGGTGTGGATGTCTTGGATGTCACCCACCGCCTTGGTGCCTGGGCATCCCCATGTGGCCTGGCCTTGTAATGTGAGATCTAAGATGATCATGTGGTGGTGTGCATGTGGGTCCGAGTGTCTTGGTGGTGAGTTTGGTCCCTGAGTACTTGGCAGTGAAACCTTGTGCCTGTTTTTGAAGATTGTGTTTTGTCACCTTCTCTAGCCAGGTCAACCAACCCATACATTTTGGTACCACATCTTCTCCCCTTTTGCTTATGCAAAGAAACGACTTAATATTCCCCTCCCTCGTTGTATTTCCCGTATCTTCCTTTACTTCCTGAAAGCAGTCAGACATGATTGCCATTTCTCCCAGATGCCATAACTCTGCCTCCTCTTAAACTTTTACCATTTTTTTTCTCTCTGCTCCCTACAGAAAAAACCCTTGAAAGCCTTTGCTGTACCTCTGGTTCTGTCTATACCACTGGGATCAGGTTGCCATCTCCACCACTGTCCACCATGTTGCTGCTAGGGCCATATCATCTTAACCCATCTGCAGCATCTGACACAGGATCTCCCTATGTAGCCCAGGCTGCTCTTGAACTCATGATCCTCTTGTTTCAGCCTCCCAAGTCCTGTGATTACTGCCATGTGTCCCTCTATCTTTGCTCCTTCTTAGATATCTTCTCTGGTTTCCCCTTCTTGTCTCTGGTCTGTAAATGGAACATTATGAACTCTGTATAGTCAGATGTTGTGAATTTGTCCCTATTGTCATATAAGCTTCATGCAGACAGGGTTTGCTGTTGTTTTCCTCACTGATGTTCCCCCAGTGTCTAGAACAGTGCCTGGCACCTGGATTTGCATGTTTAATGGATGCGTGAAAGGCCATGAATGCATTTGGGAATACACACTTGGGTAACTCACAAATGAATGTGCTGTGGTTTATGTACTAACTACAGGTGTGCTTCTGCCATCTGAGTATGTTTCTCCATGTGCTGATGAGACAAAGTATTTTGAAGTTTCTGAAGGTTTGTGTGTATGTTTGAACTGGTTGGTGGGACTGAGCCAGGTGCCTCCCCACAAGGTTCACCGTGTGTTTCAGAGCATGAGCATGTGACTGAGAATGAATATAGGGTGTGTGCACACCTGGAATGTGGGGGGTGTGTGTGCAGGAGGTACGTATTGGGCTATGTGAAGATATATATATATATATATATATATATATACACATACACACTTCTGTGAGGCTCTTGGTGTGTGCTTGGGCATGTTCCTTTGTGAGAAGGCTGTGTATTGAGGCCACATGGAGATGGATGTGTGTGTGTGTATTTGCCAGGCAGTGTGTTCTATTATGGGATGGATGTGGGGCTCTGGCTGTACCTGGAGAGAACTGTGTAGGCCTGAGCATGTCTTTGAGTATATCAGTAAAGAGCAGTGTGTTAGTTACTTTCTCATTGCTCTGACAAACTGCCTGGCAGAATGGTTCAGTGGATAGAGGGACTTGATGTCAAGCCCAATGACCAGAGTTTGAGTTGTCCTTTGACCTTCACATGTGTGTTGTGGCACACAAAGAAATGAAATGACTTTTTTTTTTGGTCTTTTTGTGACAGGGTCTCCTTGTAGCCCCAGCTGTCCTGGAACTCACTATGTAGACCAGGTTGGCTTTGAACTCACAAAGGTTCCTTCTGCCTCTGCCTTCCAAGTGCTGGGATTAAAGGTGTGCGCCACCACAGCCAGCCTAATGAAATGACTTTTTTGAAAAGCAACTTAAGAGTTTATTTTGACTCAAAGTTTGAGGGGACACAATCCTTCTTGGTGGGAAAGCATGTCAGCAGGAAGTGAGGCAGCTGGTCACATTGTCTCCACAGTCAGGAAACAGATGAATGCTGGTCCTGCTTTCTCCTTCTTGTTCAGCCCCGGACCCCAGCCCATGGAATGGTTCTGTTGTTTAGCCTTATCTAGAAACTCCCTCACAGATATGCTCAGAGGTGTGTCTCCTAGGTGATTCTACATTCTGCCAAGTTGACAGTCAATATTAACCATCACAGCAGGGGGTGTCCAGTTATGTGTATCCTGAGTATGTGGAGTGAGAGCATATGACTTGGATGTCTGCTTGTGTTGTGTGTGTGGTGTTGTGTGGGCCTGTATGTTGGGCATCATCTGTGGGACCAATGAGCAGATACCTCAGGCTGTTGTGCCAGGTGCCTCCCCACTGGCCAGGCTCTCCAGTAGAGGTATGAGGGCAGCCAGGCCAGGGCCCTCGGGTAAGAGACTACTCTGGGCCCAGGGAGGTGGTGCAAATCGACCAGTTCCTGAAGGAGACAGCAGCTCGGGAGGCCAGCGCCAAACTGCGACTGCAGCAGTTCATTGAGGAGCTCCTGGAGCGGGCAGACCGAGCAGAGCGCCAGCTACAGGTTATTAGTAGCAGCTGTGGCAGCACACCCAGTGCCAGCCTGGGCCGAGGAGGTGGGGGCAGTGGCCCAGGGCTCGGAGCTCGGGGCCCAGGCAGAATGGTGAGTGCATGCCTGCCCTGCCTCCTCACCTGCTCAGGTGGTCCCCACAGCCTCCCACACATGCCCCTGGCCTGGGAATGTTTATGCTTCCCTTCTTTACCTGTTCCCCCACAAACCAACTCCAGGCTGAAGTGGGGGTGTGCACTGTCACTGGGCAGGAGTGCTGGCCCTGAGACTGTGGCAAGGGTGCTTCAGTATCCCCATCATTCAGAGTCCCATCTCTCCAAATGAGAACCTAGGAGCCACATGCTGGGCCCTGGGATGCTGGGTGGGTGGCTGGGGAGGGGACTGGGAAGCCTGCCTATCTGGGCTGTCTGTCTGTCCATTCATCCATCTTTCCCAACTTTGTTCTTTTTTCTCTCTCCTTCCTTTCTTCTCTTCATCTTCTTCTCTCCTACTATTGCCTCCTCCTCCTCTTGCCTCCTGCCCTTCCTTCTTTTCCCTTCCACTCTGGGGGCCACAGCGAGAACACCATGCAGGTCCAGCTGTGCCAAGCACATATGCCGTGTCACGGCATGGCTCCTCTCCCAGCACAGGGTAAGCCTTGGGCTTGGCCCATCCCACACAGCCCACCCTTACCCTAGAAGGCTTGCTGGTCCTTCAGGAACTCTTTGCTCTTTTCCTTCTCCACCCATCCCCCAGCATCACCAGTATGCCTTCAGTACTCGAAGGGAGCTTTTGGGAAGCAGGGCAGTGGGTAACCCTTGGCTGGTGGTAGGGACAGGGTGGAGAGTTCAAGCAGTCGAATAGCCCTTACCCCTCACCATGTGCCTCCCCCCCACCTGCCCCAGGGCCTCCAGCCGTGTGCCAGCTGCATCCCAGAGCTCAGGCTGCTATGACAGTGACAGTCTGGAGCTGCCCCGGCCAGAGGAAGGGCCTTCTGAGGACAGTGGCCCTGGGGGCTTGGGTTCACGGGCCCAGGCTACAAATGGTAGCTCAGAGAGGTCCCAGGCCCCTCGTAGTTCAGGCCTTCGACGACAGGCCATCCAGAACTGGCAGCGCCGACCTCGCCGACATAGCACTGAAGGGGAAGAGGGTGACGTCTCAGATGTGGGCTCCCGAACCACCGAGTCAGAGGCTGAGGGCCCTTCAGATGCCCCACGCCCTGGACCTGCTTTGGCTGGGCCACTGAACAGTTGCCGACTCTCAGGTAAGTCCTGGGAGGGTAGGTAGAGAGGCCAGCTTTACCAGGGTGCTGGGCTCTCTAAGGGGACAAGGGTTACAGGCAGTGTCTCTTGGCTCCTACACCTCCTTTCCTCTTGCCTACTGTTCTGGTTTGTTTCTTCACTGCTATGACAAAATACTCTGACTGCTACCAACTTTGGGAGGAAAGGGTTTATTTAGCTTAAATATCCCAGGTCACAGTTCATCCAGAGCCCAAGGTTCCTACTCAGGGCAGGAACCTGGAGGCAGGAGCTGGAGCACAGGCCATGGAAGAATGCTGCTTATTGGCTTGCTCCCTGACCCCTGCTCAGCCTGCTTTCTTATGCAACACAGGCCCACCTGCCCAGAGGTGGCACCACCCACAGTGGGCTGGGCCCTCCCACATCACTCATCAAGAAGATGCCCCACAGACATGGCCACAGGCCAGTCCAATAGAGGCAATTTTCCAGTTGAGGCTCCCTCAACCCAGGTGTGTCAAGTTGACGCTAAAGCTATCCAGCACACCTTTCTATGTTGTCAAGCACCCTTCAGGCTTATAGCAGGGATTTTTGTGACAGGGCTGTGAGCCAAGGGTGCTCCATTTAAGGGATCTGTGCAGGTTTTGGCTCCATCACAGATAGGGCAGAAGAGCTGAATGTTGATTCTAGGCTCTGAAGCCCCTGGCACAGGACAAGGGTTTTTGGGGTAGCACTTACATGGGAAGCTTGAGTTTAGAGGGTTAGAGTCTGGTGACCCTTAAAAAGAAAGTTTAGGAGGCTGGTGTGATGGTTAAGTGCACTGGCTGATTTTGCAGAGGACCTAGCACCCTAGGTACTAGCACCCCCATGGCAGCTAATAACAGTTCATAATCTCCAGTTCTAGGGGATCTTATCGATGTTCTTCTAGGTTCCTTGGGCATTGCACATATGGTATACTAGAATACATGCGGGCAAAATACTTATAAGCATAAAAATTTATAAAGAAAGTTTAGGGTTGAGGAGGTTTAGTTGGTAGAATGTTTGCCTTGAATCCACAAAGCCCTGGCTTCAGTGTCCATCACCCCAAACTGTGCATGGTAACCAAACACCTGTAATCTTAGCATTTGGGCAGTAGTTGTAGGAGGAACAGAAGTTCAAGGTCGTCCTGGGCTTGAATTTACATAGTAAATTCAAGGATAGCCTGGAATGCCTGAGACCCAGTCTGAAAAAAAAAAAAAATGAGTGTGACAAAGCAATAGATACTTTTTTCTAATTAGTAAAATTTGGGGGTAGGTACTATAGAAGAGGGAAAAGCAGAGGCCCTGTCCTGGGGAGCTTGTCTCCAGTGTGGGTCTCATTTATACTCCTCCTGCTGTTCCTGTCCTGCCCAGCTCCCTACCCATAGCCCCTCACATTCCATTGTCTCCCTTGACCCTGGTGTTCTGCAGCCCGACCTGAGGGAGGGAGTGGACGAGGCCGGCGAGTGGAGAGGAGTAGCCCTTCACGTTCAAACGAGGTTATCAGCCCAGAGATCCTCAAGATGCGTGCAGCCCTCTTCTGCATCTTCACCTACCTGGACACCCGCACCTTGCTGCATGCTGCTGAAGTCTGTCGGGATTGGCGCTTTGTAGCCCGGCACCCTGCAGTCTGGACGAGGGTGCTGCTTGAGAATGCCAGAGTCTGTTCCAAGGTACATGCCCTCTGGGACCCTGACTTTGTCCAAGTAGAATTTGGTCCTTGTAACTCTTACAGCATTGGCTCCCCAAAATGTGTTTATGGGACCTCTTACTCAGGGCTGGCAGGTCTCCCACCAACTAAGTTCAGACCCGTGTTCACATCACTCCCTCTCCCTCAGTTCCTGGCCATGCTGGCTCAGTGGTGCACCCAGGCCCACTCGCTAACGTTGCAGAACCTGAAGCCCCGACAGCGGGGAAAGAAGGAGAGCAAGGAGGAGTATGCCCGAAGCACCCGGTGAGGCTTGTGGTGGGTGGTGAATGCTCCTGGGCTACAGACCTGGAATTAAGTAGGGCTGCTTCCCAGAGATGGAAATGACTACTAGCAACTTCCTGACCTCTTGGTCATCCCCAGGGGCTGCCTTGAAGCAGGGCTTGAGTCCCTGCTGAAGGCTGCAGGAGGGAACCTGCTGATCCTGCGAATTTCCCACTGTCCCAACATCCTCACTGACCGATCACTCTGGCTGGCCAGCTGCTACTGCCGTGCCCTGCAGGCAGTCACCTACAGGTGGGTTCTCCCCACCAGGAGCACCTCTGTGCCTCAGGCTCCAAGGTCCTTAGACAAGATGTGGTTTTGCCCCTTGGTGGGAGTAGAGGCCACCAGGGTCACTCAGTTTTTGCTTTTCCACAGGAGTGCCACAGACCCTGTAGGCCATGAGGTGATCTGGGCCCTGGGTGCAGGCTGCAGAGAGATTGTCTCCCTCCAGGTGGCACCACTTCATCCCTGGTGAGCCCAACCAGGAGTGTGTGTGGAGGGAATGGTAGTGGGCCTGGTTTGGAACTGAGACTGAGTAGGTCAGCTGCTGGAACAGATTATACACACCATAGTGTGTTGAGACATCAGGAGCAGGGCTGTGATATGGAACCTGGAATTGTGCTTGGGCTGACTGGCAGTACTACTTTAATTTCTTTTTATTATACTTATTTTTATTTACTGTGTGTGTGTGTGTGTGTGTGTGTGTGTGTGTGTAGGTCAGATGACAACTTTTAGAAGTCATTCTTTCCTTCCATCATGTGAGTCCCAGGAATCAAACTCAGGTCATCAGGCTTTGTAGCAAGTGCCTTTATCCACTTGAGGCATCCTGCCTGCCCTGTCACTTTAAACAATTCAACCTGTCTTAGTTGAGAACAACTTGGATTAGGGCTGTTACTGGGTCAAAGAGGTCATATCCATATCCACAGATACTATGGAGCCCATAGTAAGTGTTCAGTCAACACTACCCTGACATGAGACTGACAGATCAGAGAGGTCAGTATATATAATATACAGAGGCAGCTGGGTGTACTGTCATTTGCCAGTTATCTTAGCTACTGCAGAGGCTGAGGCAGGAGGATTGTGATTTCAAGACCCATGTAAGCAATTTAGCAAGACCACCATCTCAAAACAACAAAGCTGTTTGTCAGAGAACCCAGGATGTGGAATCATCCGTGTCTCTATTTGGGGTTCATCAAACTACCAGGCTTCTCAGTGCCTCACCCTCTCAGCAGTATTCCCCCATGCCAGCTCCTCCCAGGTCCTCTAGCTTGCCTTTTGTCTCTGGTGGAATCTCACTATGCCCCCTGCTCAGCTCCCACTGCTCTCATGCTGACCCCTGTCCTTCAGTCTGCAGTCATTTCTCTTCAGGCTCCTCTACTAGATTCAGTTCCCAGGGCGGAGTCTGTGAATGTCCATTTCTGAATCCCTGCGACCACAGGCATAGAAGATGACAGTGCTCCTGTTTTCTGGGCAGATGTTGAGGAAAGAAGTTTGGTGTAGTGGAGCAGGCAAGCCAGCAGTGATAGGGAAAGCAAGATGGACCTTGTTAAGGGGTGTAGGTCTGTGTATTTTATCTAGAAACTGCTGGGAAACCTATTGTCAGGATTTTAAGGTTCTTTGTTTTTGTTTTTGAGACAAGGTCTCCCTATAGCCCCAGCTGGCCTGAAACTCCCTATGTATATGGGCTGGGCTGGCCTTGATCTCACAGAGATCCGCCTGCCTCTGCTTCCCCAGTGCTGAGATTAAAGGTTTGCACCACCACACCTTTAAAATCGTGGTGGGATTTTAAATTTTGAGAATAGTATCAGGCCAGACATGGTGGTACACACATGTAATCCTAGCTTTTGGGAGGTGGGTGCAAGAAGATCAGAAGTTCAGAGTCATCCTCAGCTATGTTGTAAGTTTGAGGTCAATCAGCCTGGGCTGTATAAGACACTATCTCAAAAAAACAAAACAGAAGTACTAAAAGACAGACATGGTGGCTCAGGCCTGTAATCTTGGCACTTGGGTTGTTTGGGTGGGAGGGTTGCCATCAGTTCAAGGCCAGGCTGAGCTACAATGTGAGATTCTGTCTCAAAAGAGGGGGTGAGGGGGCAGCTAACTAAAGTCAGAGTGCTAAATGTGTGTCACAGAATGTGCTTTGAGGGCTGGGGCCATGTCTACATTGTTACCCTGCACCAGGCCTGGCTCAGCTGTCTTGGCTGTAATACTTGATAACCACCTGCTGTCCTCTGGCCACCATGTGGAGGGTGAATGGAGACAGGTAGGAACCCAGATCCATGCCAGCGGAACTCTGGCCTGTGGCTCTAGGAGTTGCTCCAGATGTGTGTGAGGGGAGGGGGCAGAGTCAGAGATGAGCTGTTTTCTTTTTTGAACAGTTGGGATGTTGGCAGGGCACTTGTCTTCACCAGGGTCCCCCAAGGAAGAGTATACTTGGGGGTACCAGAGGCCTCCCTGATAACCCCACTCTCCATTTTCCAGCCAGCAGCCCACCCGCTTCAGCAACCGCTGCCTGCAGATGATTGGGCGCTGCTGGCCCCACCTCCGGGCCCTGGGCGTTGGTGGTGCCGGCTGTGGGGTACAGGGCCTGGCATCACTTGGTAAGTCCTTCCTTGGGGTTAAAACAGGTAGGTAAAAAGAAGGCAAGGGGTGTAATGCTGCCCTATGACTTCCACAGGGGTTAGAAGCTGTAGCTGGGTGGTGGTGGGGACTAGAGTGCTGGGCAGGAGGTGTGCTGGGGAATTTGTCAGCAGGCCTCTCTTCTTCCTTTCCCTAGCAAGAAACTGCATGCGGCTGCAGGTCCTGGAGCTGGACCACGTATCAGAGATCACCCAGGAGGTAGCTGCTGAGGTCTGCCGGGAAGGCCTGAAGGGACTGGAGATGCTGGTGCTCACAGCCACCCCTGTCACCCCTAAGGCCCTGCTGCATTTTAACAGTGAGCAATGGGGGATGCAGGGCAGGATATGGCTGCAGCCTGTCCCCATGCATTCTGCAGCATTGTGTGAACATAACCTAGAGATAAACAGATGTCTGTTCCTTCCAGTTAGAGCACCAACAACTGACCACAGTGAATGCCTAACTTGGAGTCCTAACTTGGAGTTAACAGGGCTTACTTACAGAGAGACCATGGGTGAGGAGTTACTTCAGGATGTAGGTAATCCCAAAGCAGCCATATTATCAAGAAGTCTCACTTCAGCCTGAATGATGAATTTCCCATAGTTACACAGATGGAGTCCTGCTTCCATACTATATACTCTAGCATCTCCAGAGCCCACTATGTAGCTCTGGCAGAATTGCATACAGTTGGCAGGGAGGCTCAGGAGGGAGTAGCTGAGATATCAGGTGAGGGTCTGATGACCCTCCCCAACCTCTCCTTCTGTGACAGAAAATCAAGAAGACCAATCTTGAAGGTTGCTTGTGAGTAGTCACAGCTACTCTGATGATGTTAACGACTGTTATACGCAGATGACTGCCTTGTGTAACAAGCAGGTAGCATAAGGATTCCCTGTTGTTCTAACCATCCAGTGCCAAAGCCTAAGCAGACGGAGCAGGGTTCTAGCCCTAGTTTTGTCAGTCTGAGGCCAGGGTAGCACTCAGACCCAGCAGCATCTAGTGCTAACTGTTTAGTTTCACAGGGTGTCTGTTGCTCTGCCATGACCCACAGTGATGCCAGGGGCTCTGTGGTACCACTAGCTCCCGTGTGAGTCTCCCACCAGAGCAGAGGCAGAGCACACAGGTAAAGAGATGGGTTTTGTGGTGCTGTTCCTTAGCTATGGGACTTTGCCATCTGAATTCTGTGTTCTTATCTCTTGACTTTCTAGATGGTAGATTAAAGGACATAGTGTGTAGGCTCTGGGAACAGTTCTTGGGCAAGGACTAAACTCTTAACTCCCCTGCCTCCTGCCCCCATTCTCTTGTGCCATTCCCTCTACTCCCATCACTGCCTTCACTGTGAAACCAAGTACTCGGCTTGAACATCTTCCCAGTGAGACTCAGGACCATGTGACCCCCAGGAAGTCCCCATGCAAGACTGCTCGAAAGTTCCTTTTTACTTTTTCCTTCAGTGCTAGGGATTAATCCCAGCACTTGCTAGCCCCAGCATTGTGCCACTAAGCTGTATTCCCAAATACCTTTTTTTTTTTGGTCTTTTTTGAGACAGTGTCTCCCTGTAGCCCCAGCTGTCCTGGAACTATCTAGACCAGGCTGGCCTTCAACTCAGAGATCTGCCTGCCTCTGCCTCCTGAGTGCTGGGACTACAGGCGTGCGCCACCATGCCTGGCCAGATACCCTTTTTTAAAGTTTATATTTTGTGTATATGAGTGTTTTGCCTGCATGGTGTCTAAGTGTACTTGTGCATGCAGTGTTCACAGAGGCCAGAAGAGTGCGTTGGATCCTGTGGAACTAGAGTTACAGATGTTTATGAGCCTCAGTGTGGGTGCTGGGAACCGAATCCAGGTCATCTGTGCTTGCTCTTATTTGCTGAGCTATTTCTCCACGCCCCCCAACTCCCCTTTTCATTTTTACTTTGAATCAAGGTCTCACTAACTTGCACAGGCAGACCTTAAACTTTCAATCGCCCTGCCTTGGCCTCCGTAGTAGCTGGGGTCACAGACTTATACCAGTACACCAGGGAAGTTGCCAGGGCCACTGAGGTTGACTCTCATACACTCAAACTTCTAGAGTACCTTCATCTACCTTCCTAAGATGTCCAGGTATGAACTATGGCCAGCACAGGCGTGCTTTCCTTGTTCCCATGACTGGCCCACAGATGTTTCTTGGTGGGTATCTGATTTCATTCAGAAGAGAGGAGGCAGCCCACCTCACCAAACATGAGTCTCCATATCTGCCTTTTCCCAGGCATCTGCCGAAACCTTAAATCCATTGTGGTCCAGATTGGGATTGCTGATTACTTCAAGGAGCCCAGCAGCCCCGAAGCCCAGAAACTGTTTGAGGATATGGTGACAAAGCTCCAGGTAAGACTAAGAGTTTTGGGTGGGCTCTGAGACCACCATGACCCTCGGCTGGAGTCAGTGGCCTGGGTGAGGTGGCTGGAGGAGCCCACTGGCCCAGCACTGAGGGAGAACTAACCTAGAGCTCTGTCTACAGGCCCTGAGGCGGAGGCCTGGCTTCTCAAAGATTCTGCATGTCAAGGTGGAAGGTGGCTGCTAACCCGGGTGGGGGGCGGCAGGGCTCCTGCCAGCCCCACACCAAGGCACTCTTTGGACCTCCAGAGGGACCCTGGCTTGAAGGCCTAGTGCTATTCTGGGTTCCAGAGAGGGGTTTGGTATCCTGTCCTCCTGGAACTACAGAGCTACAGGTGACCCAGGGCGGGGACTTGGACAGAAGCTGCCCTCCGACCCCTTACCACACCCCAACTGGAGCGGCCTTCTGGTACCACCAGCAAGGAGCTGTCACCACCCAGAAGATCTGCAGTAACCCACAGCTGCTCAGGCAGGCCTTTTGTTCCTGAGACCTGCTTCCTGTCAGGGGCCTCTGCCAGGCCAAAGGCCAAAGGGGGCTTCTCAAAGCAGATCAGACTTGGCAAGGAGGGCTCTTTCCCGCCTTACCTGACCCAGTCCCCCACAGGGCACTCCCATCAGTTGGCCTCCACTCCAGGTCCACATTCTCCAGTGATGACCCAGGCAGGCCTAGGAACCTAAGGAACATGGTCACCTGAAAGCTGGGAGCAAGCAGGGATGCAGGGGGTAGGTTTGGAAGGGACGAAAGTCAATTAGAACTCCCCAGGATGAGGCCATCTCTCCCATGGGGAGGATATGACAGGCCAGGTAGAGACTATAAAGCTTCTCATTGTACCCCCACCACACCCAGAGCTAAGTTCAGAGCAGAAGGTGCATGTTCATTTTCCTACCATGCCTTCCTGAGGGATCACAGAAGGGCCAGGGTCCCAGCCAGACCACCTGTTTTAAGAAGAGATTTCTTAACCCAGGTGCTTGGGAAGGAATCCCAAAGCCTTTGGGGCTGCAAGGCTGTCTGGGAGGAGGGACCCTACGCTCCCCGCTGTGGTGAAGCTTGGAGGAGGGTCCTTTCTTGCTTTCTTCCTTGTCAGCATGCTTGAGGATGTGGCCTTGGCATGGAGCCAGATTCTGGGGCGAGGAAAAGGTAGACTCATTCAGTTTCTACCAGCCTGGGCTGAGGCAGTGAGAGAATGTTGTGGATGGGGTGTCACTGGTCCTTGGCACAGTACCCAGAAGACCATGGGTTTGAGCCCCATAGACTGAGCACCCCTCACCAAGTTCCTCCTCTAAGATCTCGAAGTGGCTCAGAGACCAGGGGTCTTGCCAACCTTCCTTTGGGCAGTTCTTTCAAACATCTAGCCTGTCATCTAAACCTATCTTGGGGTTCCCAGCCATCATAATGCCTGTTGGTCCTGATTTGGGGTGGGATCCTCTTGCTTCCCAGTTTTCTCCAGCTGTGCTACAACCTGGCTTAGGTACCTGAACCCATCCACGGGTTACCACCCACCAAGTCCCCTGCATTGCTCTACACTTCATGTTCAGTCATGCACTCAGTTCCAAGCACATCATTGCTCTGACATCTGTGGTTCATTCTGTCTCTGCCTTTTGAAGACTGAAATGCCAAGGCTCCTATGCTGGCTACTTCCTGCCTAGTCCTGCTCAAAACCTTGGCTTCATGGTATCCATGCCCCTCTCAAGCTGCCTCCAGTTGCTCCCACCTCTCCACCCCTAAACCCTGGAGTCACAGGAAACAATAGCACAACTTTCCTTTAGGGGCCCAGAAGAGAAGTGGAGGTGCACTTGGGGTCTGGCTGCCCTCCGTGGGTTGTTTGCCAGCTGTACCATGTAGCCCCTGGTCCCTGTGACTTCAAGAACAGAGGTGCCACCATCTCTATCTCCTGGACAAAGCACAAAGAGAGATGCTCTGGTTGGCCTAACTGTGCCACCAGGAGGGAGCTTCCATCCTTCAATTCCAGGCTCTGGATATCTCTCTGGGTGGCGAACAATGGAATGCTTGGTGTTGGTGATGGGATAGAGGTCAGGATGGACAGGTATCAAGGCACAGAGCAGGACTGAGGACTGACAATGGTACCAGGCCTGGGTACTTCCACACAGCATCCCAATCTATCAAAAGGGAAAATATCCCTCCTGCTGGTACAAGTCTGCCTTGTGAAGGGCTGTTTGCAGAAAATCCTGCAAGGTCTCACCTATTTTCTTGCTCCAAATGAAGGTGGTGAGGGAGTGCAAACTGCACAGACCTAGGCCTTTACCTACAGAAATGACAGCTCACAAGTGTCCTGACAGTAGATCTGCAGTCCTCTGCCTGCCACTCGTGGCTTCTTTGCTCCTATCCCAGGGGATGAATCCTGCTCCTGGGTGTTTTGTTCATTTACATCCTCAGTAGCCACAGAGCTAGAGTTGAGGATGGAGACCTGGGACAGGGCACCTGGCTTCCTGAGAAGCATCTTAACCACTCAAAGGGAGCCCTTTGTGTTTCATACTTAGGTTACCAAAAAGGGGGGGAAGGGGGACACGAGAGGGCAGGCCCTGCCTCAGAGGCCCTAGGCCTACAGAGAAACCCACAGGTGGTAGCCACTTGGCACCTTCCATTTCCAGCCCTGCCATAGGCCTAGTACCTGTAAGTTCAAGCAAGTTTGGCTTGAATATGTTATGCTTTATGCAGCCCACTTCCCCATAGTACAAGCAGAAATAATATGCACCTCTGCCCCAAACCCCAGCTTTCCACCCATCAGAGAGCACCCTGAAATCATGTTTTCTTCGATTACAGAGGTTGACTCAGTCCCTCAGGTATTGTCTCAAAAGGTATTTTTCCCATGGTCGTCTGCTCTAATGTTTGCCTTCATCCTTTGCCTTTGGGCCTTGCCAGTTCCCTTGGCCCTGATCTTGAATCCTAGCTATCACGGTCCCAATCTAAGGCAATAAGTTGAAGGAAATGTTCCCAGAGTGAAAACTGGTGCCAAAGACCTAGTTCCTGGTGAACTTTGGAGTAGAAATGATGGATGGGATATGCCTAGTGCCCAAAGGAGTTAACCTATAGAAGGAGTGTGCCCCAGCCTGTCAGCCCCCGGTGAGTGTTGACTTCCCTCCCCCAGCTGCTGGCAGTCCTTTCTATCCCTGGTGACCATGCTTCCTTGTCCAGCCTTGGCTCAGGCCAGCATCTCTGTATATATTGCTATGTATTATGTATATGTATTTATTCCTGGACAAGTGAGTTCAGCTGTAGTCCTTGCCCAAGGATAAGGCTGAAGGTTGGGTGAAGAGTAGAACATCATCTTTCCTCCTCGACTTCTTGAGACTTAAGCCAGTCCCAAGACTGCCCTGACAATCAAGCAGGCACCCGATCACAAGGCAGGCCAACCTTGGGTCTCTGCTGTTAGCATAGCCCCAGGGAGGCAATGGCTTGGGGTTCCCAACCTCTGCTTAGCCTGGTAGGGATCTCATTCTGAAGCAGAGGTCTGGGGTGTCCCAGGTGTGCTTTGTGGCTGGTGCCATTAGGCTTGGCTCAGAGGGCACCACTGGTGAGACATCCATAATTGGTCCCCCCAGGCCCCACCTTCCTTGCATAGCCAGGCTGCAACTGCCTGAGCAGTGAGGGTAGCGAGCAACTTTTGGTTTTACTTTGTTTCTAAAGTGGTACCTGTACCTCCAGCCCCCAGGGGGCCTTCTCTGGTCCCACTTCTCTGCCCAACCCAGGCATTGCCATCCCAGCACTTTGCTCCATGTCACCCAGATGCCCTTTGCCGAATGTACCCGAGTATATGTATTTAAAAGGACTTAGGGGTATCAGAGAATTTATGGCTCTGTATCCAATAAAAGATGGTGAAACTGGTGTATTTGGCCCAGAGAAGTGGCATGTGGCCACAATTGTCTACTACATAGGTGCCCCCACCCTCTCATGCAGCCCAGGTTATCCTCAAACTCAACACATTGCTGAAGATAAATTATGATTGTCCCAGTGTGGAGATTAAAGGTGTATACCATGCTCAGTTTATGTGGTGATGGAACCCAGGGTTTTATATGTGTTAGGCAAGCACTGGTCTTACTATCGCCTTTTTGTGGCTAAGGTCACTGAGGCAGAAGAAGCCAGATGGCTCAATCAGGCAAATTAGGGACACAGGTGTGCAGAAGATGCTACAGAAAGGCCTGCCCTGCTTCCAGTGTCTGCAAAGACCAATAGCCTTGAACATACCTTCTAATACTGTTGGCAGGAGCCCCCTTCAGGGCAAACCTAGCTAAGTAGCAGAAGCAGCAGGTACTGTCCCACTCTTTGGTGGCTTAGCCCCACCCCAGAAAGCTCTGGCCAGCCAATCAGGCTTTGACTAAGTTGCTACTGTACCTTAACTCATTTCACTAAATGGACTTTTCCCACTAACCTAATTGCTAGATTCTAACCTTAAAAACAGGGGAAAAAAAGGCCAGGTATGTTTGCCCATGCCTTTAATCCCAGCACTTAGGAGGCAGAGGCAGTTGGATCTCTGAGTTCTAGAACAGCCTGGGCTACAGGGAGAACAAAAAAACAAATGAAAAACACCCTCCCCCCACCAGGTGTTTTAGTTTAAACTGTCCACAATTAAGCCAGCTGTTGCAGCCTTGTCCTTACAAAACAGCTGAAGCTCAGAAAAATCACCTAAAGAGCTCCAGGTCATAGGACAGCTGCCACACTGCAGATTAGGAGTTTACCTAGTCCCCACCCTGCTTTCAAGACCATCTGAATCTATAGATTCTCTATAATCACTTCCTAGTTTCAAACAGCAAAAGCTTCTCCAGCTTTACCATCACTACTAGCTGCTGGCTAACTCTTACTCAAGAGTGGAGCAAGACTACAGGTTGAAGGCCAGCTTGGGCAATTTGGTGATGCCTTATCTCAACACAAAAGGCTCTTAAAAAGGACTGAGGTTCAGTGGCAACTGCTTGGCCTAACATGCATGAGGCCCTGATGTCAATCCATAGTTAAAACAGACTCCCAAGATGGCTGAACAAAAAAAGGTTTCCACTACTTCTTTTTCTTCATGCAGAGTCCAGAAATAATGTGACCTGAAAACTCTTTGCAGAGCCCTCACTTTTAAGATTTTGAAAAAGGGGACAAGTCTGAGCTGAGAATAGAGGTAGAAGGAGCGGAGAGATTACTCGATCCACTTACTGCAACCAAAGTAGTGCCTGGTTAGGAGGCCTAATGAAGATACCATAAGAAAAGAAGGCCACGTGGCCTACTTCCAGGTCGTAACAGTGAGATTCCAGACAAGGGCTTCTCTACTGGCGCTCATCTCAGGTCATCAGAGAACTTTTTACTTTGGTGAGCACATGCATAGGTCTGAGAAGCAGTTTATAAACTGACCAAATGAGCTCTTTAAGTTTTATTTATGGCCTCCAGTGAGAACACAGACCAATTACAACCATTTCCTCACCATGCTGGGGAGGTGTGATGCATTGCAGATCTCTCAATGGAGCCGGCCGCGGCCACGGCCCGCTGCTGGGGGAGCATCCACAGTGGAGCGGGGGTTCTTAATGGTCTCATCAACAGACACAATAAGGCATGCAGCCTCAGAGGCTGCTGTCAGGGCATTGATCCGTACCATGGCTGGCTCCCACACAAAGGCCTGGAAGTTGTCAGCAATGTCCTCGTTGTTGATGTCCACCCCATACCACATGCCCCCCTGAAAGAGGCAAAAGAGATGGAGCCATTACATTGATCCCATTTCTTCCTACAAGAGACTTGAGTGTCGGATTCCAACTCTGCCTTTACGCATCACAACAGGAATCAGCAGTGTATCTTTTCCTATCCAACTTCTGCCAATAGTCCCTTCCAACCCAAGTCATATTGACCACAAGTGCTCAGACCCTCTCCTAGGAAGCTACTATTTCCTGGCCTGGCATTGTAGCTTTCCCTCTGCAGATGCCCCACTGTACTAGGCAGAATGAGCCTGGCCCTACCAACCCAATCCCTGGAGCCTGATAACAGCAGGGACTGACCTGTGCATGCCGAGCCCGGAGCTTGTTGAGGATATTTGTGGCATCAAAACCAGCGTTGTCACACAGCTGACGTGGGATAATCTCCAGGGCCTTGGCATATGCTCCAATCAACAGTTGCTGTTTCCCTGGAATGGTCCTTGAGTAATCCCGTAGGTACTTGGAGAGCTCCATCTCAATGGCCCCACCACCAGCCACAACAGAGTCATTCTGCAGAAACCAAACCAGTTCTCAAAGCAGCTGGACCACTCAGCAAGTCCTCCAGTCCAGAAACAGAATGGTGCCTCATTCCTTTCCCAAGTCCCATAAGCCCAGACACAGTACATCCCAGCTTCAATCCGAAGAACCATAAGGTCAGCTGTAGTTCAGGGACAGCAACTGCACTATGACAACTGACTTACTACTTTGCTATCAAGAACTAGTTCTAGCCTTTGAGACAGCATGATCTATATATGAGACTGAGGCTATTTCCCAGGCTTTGTGGGACAAATGAGGGTCCAGTTTGGGCAAAAGATAGCTCACCATGCCATCTATAGAAGGGAGGGATCTGCAAAGAAACTCAGAAGCTGATCAGCTTGGGGGTTAGTGACTGTGCAGGCTGTGCATCATACCTTGATGGCCCTCCTGACTATCATGATAGCATCGTGCAGGGACCGCTCTGTTTCCTCCATAAACTGCTCAGCACCTCCACGAAGGATGATGGTACACGTCTTGGCCTTAGGGCAGCCAGTGAAGAAATTATACCTATGCCCAGGATGCAATGGTACATACATGAACTGTTGCCATCTTGATGGCTGATCCTCCCTGCCAAACTCTCCCAATACCAAAACGCTCCCAATACTGAGCAGCTGCTCCTCAGGCTGCCAATCTCCAGCCTTAAATGCCTTCTTGGGCAGGTCTGGGGCTCTACCTCTGGAACACCAAAACCTGTAGAGTCACATCTAAGATTCTGAGCTTTTCATGCCCCCAAAGATAGGACCTTTTTTTTTTTTTTTTTTTTTTTTTTTGAGACAGGGTCTCCCTGTAGCCCAAGCTGTCCTGGAACTCACTAGTAGACCAGGCTGGCCTTGAACTCATAGAGATCCACCTGCCTCTACCTCCCAAGTGCTGGGATTCAAGGCAAGATAGGACCTTTTAAAATAAGCAGTGCAAGCTATATACCACAACATCCTGAAGATGGCAAAAAGGGCAGACCCAAGCAGTTCTTGTGAGCTAAGCTCATAGGCCTACTCACCTCTCACTGCCAATCTGGGTCTCTTCAAACACCTGGCAGCTGCCCAGCACTTCTGGAATCAGAGCATTCACACTGGTCTGGATTGAGCCTCCGCAGGCCTGAGGAGAAAGGAAAATGATACAGCCAGTTGGCCTCCTGCTACCCAGGCAACAATCCAGTTCCCATGCTGAACTCTACCATAGCATCTCAGAGCTCTCTGCACCAGATAACAATCCATCTCCATCCTGATCTCTGATGCCCCCTTCCACTCCCCTCAAAAGATGGAAAACAAAACAAAACAAAACAAAACAAAACAAAACAAAACAAAACAAAGGGCATAGGGGCCTACTTCAAAGGAGACAGTGATCTCATAGCTTCAGCCTACACTCCCACCCTCAGATTAGGGTGCTTTGGGTCCAGCGACTGAACTCAGGTGGGCCTGTAGGCTACCCGCCTCCACTGTGTTGTTACAAAGGGAGAGAAACATCTGGTTGGAAGCACTGAGTCTGCACAGCTGATGACAGCAGTACTACCAGGTTCCACCACAAACCAGGTCTACTTCTTAATTTGTCTTGATTATGGTGACTTAAAAGTAGACTGTATTACAAGGCACACAAACACTGGAATGGATGTAAAAACAAAGTTGAGAAACAGGGACAACCTGACAGCACACTCCATTACACGAGGACAGACGAACAGCTCAGGGCCATGAAGGCCTAAGTGGTCTGTGAAGGTTCACTTACCATCATCGTCCTCTTCAGATCCTCCTCAGGCACACGGCCAGCACAGAACATGTCCCTATCAGCAAAATACTGAGTAGCCACATCCCCAATGGGGAGTTTGGACAAGATGACTTTGGCTCCAGACTGGTAGATCTTCTCTAACTTGTCATAGAGAATGTTCCACTCAGCATCAACAATTGCCTGATAATCCTACAGACCCAGAAAAGGATGATGTTTTGAGATGGAGGTTGGTATACATAACGGGCTTCCCAAATAAAACACATGGATTTACTTGTGAGTTAGCAGGTATACATTGCTCAAATACACAAGGACCATTAAGTTAATACTTCCAAACATAAATACAGAGTAACCCCAGGGCAGGTAGCCTTGCTAGAGCCCAGGTATGGAGAACAGTTCAACCTGACAAGTCTCTTCTGAGTGCTACATGTATCACAAAGGCCACTCTGTGCTAGCAGATAATGCTACTCAGAGACAGCCTTGGTAATCACAATGGCAGGAGTACAGGAATTGGAGAGACTCAGTCTAGAAGGGAAGGGGATCTGTCTGACCAAGAAGAATCAAAATGCAGGCAAGCTGTACCTGGTGCAAGCCTACCAGGGCTAAGGTAGGAGGAGTTGCAAGTTCAAGGCCTGTCTGGACTATAAGCAAGTTAAAGAGGTCAGCGCAAGCAACTCAACAAGACCATGTCTCAAAAGGTGTTTAAAAGGGGGTGGGGGGTAGGGAGCTGGGGTTGTGTTCAGTGGTAGACCTCCCTTTTCAGTATGCAAAGTACTACCCACGAGGTCTTGGATTTGATCCCCAGTGCCATAAAGAAGAAAAAATACTACCAGGCAGGTTAGGGAGCCCTTGCTAACCCTGTCCCTAAAAGTGGAGCATAGTAATCCAAACTGCTCTAGGCTGAGGTCACTCAGGGAGAGTAGAATGAGAATTAGTGGGCTCAGTGTTTAAACAATGCTCACAGAGGCAGAAGTTACCCACAGGAGCTGAGGCTCTCACCCAGAAAGCTGCCTGTTCCCGGGCCAGTGTGAGGGGCCTACCTCCACTGTGTGGACTCTGATTTCAGCATTATCTTTCTCCGCTTTCAGTTCGAGTTCAACATTTAAGAGGGCGATCTTGGGGTTTTTATACTTCTTGGGCTGCATTTCAAACCCAGCATAAGAGAAAGTCTTCTTGAACGCAACACCAGCCACCAGCTGAGACTCCTGGTTAAAAACAGACAGATTAACAGTTTGGTATCTGCCAGAAATTCAATCAAGCCAGTGCTTGTCCAATTCCCATGAACCCACAAGAGTGAGTCACACTTTTCACTGCTGCAACAAACTCTTCCCATCATCACAAAATTTGGGATAAATCCATCTTCCCTGGCTGTCCTGGAACTCCCTATGTAGGGAGCTTGAGCTCACAGAAATCCACCTGCCCCTAGCTCCAGAGTGCTGGGATTAAAGGTGTATGCCACCACATCCAGCTATGCTTTTTTTTTGAAGTGACACAAAACATATTTTAGTTGCATCTTTAGGATGAGAAATCACAGTTTGGGGTATCTGGGCTGTCCCCTATAATTGGCCTCTGAAACAGCTGCCAGTGGACAACATGCTATGCACAACAGTGCCAGGAAAGAAGCCAGGCAGGTATGGGTTAAGACAGGTGCTGAGTGCCATGCTTCCTTCCCTACTCTCAAGTTGGAGGAGTCCAACTGCTTGTCTGCATTTGCACATGCACAGTATACATGCTGTATCCCAGATGCTTCCTCTTTCCAGAAGAGAAAGGCAAAAAGGTCCCTAGGACCAGAACCCCAGAAGTTGTCCTGGTGGCTCTTCAGTTATCAATCCTTCTGGCCACAAGCTTCTACTTGTTCTGCTACAGAACTTCCTGCAGTTATGAGTTACCTGTAGGGCACAACAGAAAGCATATTGCATGAAGGACTGACTTTTGCCTATCACAAGACTTAGACTCAAATCTCAGCACTTTTTCTTACTGAAAGACCATATCATTCTCCATTCCATGAGCAGTATGTGTCTCCTGTTCCTGCATCACTCACATCCATAGCCTCCTGAAAGAGGATGTTTACTTACAATGAATCATGATGTTGAAATTCAACAAATGGAAAAGGAAGGGGCATTTCTGAGAGGTGGGGGATAGTGTTATAGAATCAAGGAATGAAAACCTTTTCAAAGCTGCTAGAACTCAAAATAGGTGAACAGAAAGAGGAAAAAAGGGGGAGGTGACAGGAAGCAATGCAGAAGGATCTTAAGAGTCCTGCTAAAGACTTTTTCTTAGTCTCCAGGATTCACACAGAGATGAAGGAAACTTGCAACCATGCATCACAAAGAATGGATGTGAAGGAATGCCAAGACTAGCGTGATATTGGCCCTGGGAATGAGTGAAAGAGACAGATTAAGACAGATTAGTAAATTAGTAGGAGGCTGACAGATTGTGGAGAGCCATCAAGGTTTCCAATGATGCTAACTGTGACAAGGAATACAGCTGCTTTGGGGGATGAAATGAGTACAGTAACAACTAGGTATAGGAACATGAAGCTCCAGACAGGTGAGATCTAAGCATGCGTGTTAATAATTCTATTTTTGTCAGGTTTGGCCTTTAGTCCTAGCATTTGGGAGCTGAGACAGGTGGATTTTTGTGAGTCAGCTTGGTCTACATAATGAGTTCCAGGCCAGGTAGCTGGGAACTACAGGAAGACCCTGTCTCAAAAAAAAAAAAAAAAAAAAAGAATTTACCTCGTGTTCGCATGTTTGGTGTATGCATGTGTATGTGTTCAAGTATGAAGGTCACAGGTCAACATTTGACATTGTTTTCTATCACCCTCCGCCTTTTTTTCTGTGTATATGCTATGCATGCTTGTATACACCTGTTCATATGTGTGGGGGCACCCATGCACACTGTACATGTGGGGGCCAGAGGCTGACACTGGGTGACTTCCTTAATCATTCTCCATCTTGTACTGAGGCACAGTCTCTCAATGAACATGGAGTTTGGTAGTCTAGCTAGCCAGCTTGCCCCATGGAATTCCATGTTTGCCTCCACAGCACTGGGATTATGGGTGTGCCACCAAGCCTGCCCCAATTCTACATGGGTTTTGGGATCCGAACTCTCATCCTCATAATTTTGCAGCAAGTGCTTTATCATCTAATATCTCTAGTCCTCGCCACCTTATTTTTTTGAGACAAGATTTCTTCATCTGTGCCTGGAACCCAGCAATTTGGCTAGATCGGCCGGCCAGGGAGCTCTAGGGATCTGCCTACCTGCCCTGCTCCCCAACCCCCACTACCGAGGCATGCTGCCACATCCAGCTTTTACTTGGGTGTTGGGGATCCTAACTAAGATCCCCATGTTTGCACTTTACCCGCTGAGCTTCCTTAAGAACTTTTCATAAGGCAGGCATAGTGGTGCAAGCCTTTTCATAGCACTCAAAGGCTGGAAGATCATAGGTTTGAGGCAAACCTGAGCTAACAGACCTTATTTCAAAAGAAACAAAAACAAAACAACCCCCCAGAGTTTTATATACACCCCATGAATGTGGAGTCTCTAGAAATGTGTGACTTGTCTAGTTAATCCCCTCTGCCCAGATATGAAGGGCTTCCCTGTACAATGATTCCTGGTTGAACTTATTGAGGAAGAATCTAGTAAGCACAGCAGGCTAGAAACTGAAAGGCACTACCATATTAAAAGAATCACAGCTATGCTAATACAGGAGGCACCAACCATATGTTGCTATTCCAATGAAAAACTATTCAATTTAAAATTCAGCTTCTTGGGGTTGGAGAGAGATGACTCAGTAGTTAAAAGCAGTGGCTGTTCTTCCAGAGGACCAAGGTTCAATTCCTACCACTCACATGACAGCTAACAGTGTCCTTACTTAATTCTAGTTCCAGAGGAATCCGATGACCCCTACATTTGCACATACAGATACACTTACATACATGCAAGCAAAACATTTGTCCACAGAAAAATAAATAAATCAAAAACAAATTAAAAAAATAAAATAGAATTCGTCTTCTTTGTTGTATTAGCTGTTAACTCAGATGTCACATATGGAAAGTACTATCATATTAAGACAATACAGAAGGTTCTACTGGATAGCATGAAATTAAGAGCTACATATGCCCTTATGAACCAAATGCTACAGTATAGTGTTAAATGGACAAAAACACATTACAGAACACTATGCATTATAAACCACAATTTGTATTTTAAAAATCAGCATGCAGCTGGGAGTGGTGGCCCTTACCTGCAATCCCAGCACTCAGGAGGCAGAGGCAGGTGGATCCCTGTGAGATCAAGGCCAGCTTGGCCTATGTGAATTCTAGGCCAGCTGTGGCTACAGGAGACCCTGGCATAAAAAGCCCTTCCCCTTCCAAAAAAGAATACATATACAATATCCTGGAAGGCCACACCATATGAAGTAACAACAGGACTGCGTAAGTGGCAGAGGTGGTTTATAAGCGATTAACTCTAGGCTTCATTATACAGTGTGAACTATGTATCATCTATCCAAGAGAAATGAATAGAAGGAAAAGCTTGACAGTTAACACTTGAGTGAAAAGTAGACGGCAAAGGATCTCTAGTGTTTATTAACTGAGTCATAACTTATCTCAACTAATCATTCTATACTCTGACACCAATATAGAGAAATAAGATTCAGAATGTCAACAAATCCACTTTCCCATCCTGCTGATAACCAAACAGATCCAGAGATGGCAGAAGGTGCAGTGGCAATGTGGGCAGCACAGCCCTTATCTGCTTTCCACTCAGTCTGCATTCTCCCTCCATCTGAATTGTGAACTCCACCCCGACACGAAACTGTCTGAAGGATCAGTGTGAAGGCAGGATGTCTAGGGAGGCCACAGCAGGCTTACCTCTAGGGCTCCGCCCTGTACCTTCTTGATCCCAATCATTTTAAGCTGCAGCAATTCATCAAGCATCATCACAGCATCAACCACCATCTTGGCGAAGAAGGCCTTCTGCTGGGAGATCAGCTTGGAGCTCAGGGCCGTCATGGCACATTTCTCCAACAACTTCCTCTGTTCCCTGCAACACAGGGAAGACCTTAGGATTTTGAAAACCAAATCCATCTTACCTGAATCTACTGCAGGGTGGAGGTGGTCCCTTCCATATGATACTCTATACACATTAACTACTACACACTGTGTACATTTAACATGAACAGTATATCAATCCACCTTTTACATAAGAATCTACCTTAGTAGCTTTACATATTACCCCATTAATTATCCCTTAATCCTAAACTGATGACTAAGCTCTCTCCACCTTTCACCTTTATCAACACAGAAACTATAACATACTTGTGCATCCAATTTGGCTACAGAAGTCAAGGTTCTGACAAAATTCACCATAAACTTACACTTTATCTTGCTTCTTCACAGTCACAGCAATCTCTTTGATCTTGTTAACAGCCTGTCAAAAACATAAGCTGAGGGAGTCAGGCTGAAGGCAAACTGGCAAAGTGAATCAATCTCTCCTAGCCTGTTTACTCCTAGAACTTAGCAGATCTTCTCTAGAGTGAAACAACATTCCCTGGCCCTATAGCTGCCTAGGAAAATGTAATACTCTACCACCTGGAAAAGTCCCCAGATTAGAAAGGTAAAGTAGGCAGACAGTTCTGAAGAGCCATCAGGGTGCTTCTGAGATTTACTTCTTGGACTGCAGATAACACACAAAGACAGAAGAGTAGAAACAGACAAGTCACTAGTTTAGGCCAAACCTCTGACTAACTAAAAACAACTGGACAACTTCTGGTACTTTATATGGAAGTTATATATAAAATAAACAAGCCAGTATTTTAAACTACTGAATCCTCACCAAGTATTTCTCATATATGATCAGATTTTAATGTAATCACTGGAAAAATAGCAAAGAAGTAAGGCCTACAGGGATTTAGTAACACACCTCAGGACACGAAGGGAAGAGGTTGAGTAATAGATCTCAATATGTGTTATAAAGTACTTGATAAAAACAAAACAGTGGGCTGGAGAGATGGCTCAGACGTTAAGAGCACTGGCTGCTCTTCCAGAGGATATAGGTTCAGTTCCCACCATCCCCAAACAGTGGTCTGGAGAGATGGCTCAGATGTTAAGAGCACTGGCTGCTCTTCCAGAGGATACAGGTTCAGTTCCCAGCATCCACATGGAGGGCACCAACCACCTGTAACTCCATTTCCAGGAAATCCAATGCCTCCATGGGTATTGTACACAATGTGGTACACTTACTTACATGCAGGCAAGACAGTCATATACATACAATAAAAATAAACAACAAAAGTATGAAGGAGAATGTCATGAGCCAGTCATAGTAGCACATGCCTATAATCTCTGGATTCAGGAGGCAGTAAAATTAGGAGTTCACAAGAAAGCCTGGCTATATGTAGTCAGCTTGGGCTATATGAGGCCCTGTCTCAGTAAGAAACAAACACAACAAAAAAACAAAGTGAGCATCATAATGAAACCCATTATTTTATGTGCTAACTAAAAAAAACCTTAAGTAGCTCTTACTTACTAAGTGCCTATGCTTATAGGCTGATTTTAACCTAAGGCTTCATCTATCTCATCAAACAGCTACTGGAGGGTAACTGGGAGATGGCTAGAAATGCCCACAAGCCCCACTCCAATCCCCTCCCTACCCCCCTAAGACCCCAAGAAAAGCACTGTCCCCATGAACAGAAACACGAAGGTGCCTAGTTCACTAGGACAAGTGACCCGAGGTGGCCCCTTACCAGCTGGGTGGCTGTGCGGAAAGCTCGGATGATGATCTGGGGGTGCAATCCTTCCTCCACATATGGTTTCACCTGTTTCAAAAACTCAGCAGCCAGCAGGGTTACTGATGTGGTGCCATCACCAACCTGAATGAGGATGATGGCAAATACATGTTTCCTGGTGCTCAGGATCCCTGAAATTCCATTTTTAGGCAACATACCAATTTAAAGTGGACACTGTTTAAATAGCCAAGGTTTTCTTTGGGCAACAAATGGAAAGGTTATGGTTGTTAGCGATCACCCGAATCAAATGATCACAAGCTACAAAATTAACTCCCCCAGACAGCCCCATTCTCCAAAGAGGGCTGACTGACAAGTGAATCTCATGATACAAAAATCACACAATACTTGGCATGCTTATGACATAAATAGCCACAGTACAAGCAGCATGAAATAAACATTCTTTATTATTTATTTTTATGTGTATGAGTGTATTGCCTGCATGTATGTAAGAACACCTGTGTCATGCAGTGCCCTTGAAGAATAGAAGAGGTTGTCGCATCTCCTGGAACTGGAGTTAGGGACAGTTGTTAGCTGCCATAAATGGGTGCTAAAATTCGAACCTGGATCTTCTGCCAAGAACAGCCAGTGCTCTTAACTGCTGAGCCATCTCTCTAGCCTGAGATAAACATTCTTTAAGGACTACAACTTACTATAGTAGTTAATGAAAACCCAAGTTCCAGCCAATCAGAATCACGGAAGCAGCTTTCAAAACTCTGTATTTAAAAACCTTTTGGAATGGCAGACTAGTCTGCTAACCTTAGAGGTTTTTCTGTGTTCTAAAAATGAAAAATTAGAACATTTATGAAAACTGGACAACTTCTCACTGGGAAGGAATTTATTTTTTCACTTACTTATATCCCTATGTAAATAAGAAATTCTCAAGGGGAAAAGCCACCAGGTTTCTGGACAGAAAATTAATTATCTCCTAGGTGAAAACAGTAACAAAATCCATCAAGACAGATCAACACCCATATTCTGCAGCACTCCAAAATGCAAACCTTGCTCTCAACATTAGTAAGCCTTCAGATCAAAGCTCATTCTTAAAAAGACAGACTGGTGAAAACCACTGACTCAGACACTTAAAAGTGTTTAGGAGGGGCTGGAGTGATGGCTCAGCAGTTAAGAACACTGGCTGTTCTTACAGAAGACCCAGGTTTGAATCCCAGCACCCCCAGGGCAGCTAACAAGTGTCCGTAACTCCAGTTCCAGGGGATCTGATGGCCTCTTTTGTCTTCCACAGGCATTGTATGACATGGGTGCACTTACATACATGCAGGCATTACACTTATACACATAAAATAAATAAAAGATTTTTAAAAAGTGGTTAGGGCCGGGCATGGTGGCACACACCTTTAATCCCAGCACTCAGGAGGCAGAGGCAGGTGGATCTCTGTGAGTTCAAGGTCAGCCTGGTCTACATAGTGAGTTCCAGGACAGCTGGGGCTACAGGGAGACCCTGTCTCAAAAAGACCAAAAAAAAAAAAAAAGTGGTCAGAAGGGCAAACTGTGTATTTTAACATGATACACACAGAAAACTGAAACCTTAATGTTTCCAGTCACATTTTATAAGGTGATAAGTAACGATTTACATGACCACAGCACGCCCAGGCCAAAGAGCTCAGACTCAGTCTTCAGAACTCAGACCTGAAGAATGTAGCCACCCACAGTATGTTAATGAACATGAAAAGGTACATGCAGAATTATATAAAGCTTTAATGGTTAATAAGTAAAATAAGTATGAAACACTTGACAATTATAATTTTAGACATAAAACATTTTCAGAGAGAGCAAGGCAACAAGAAGTCACATGCTCCCCTTGCTTTCTCTGAACTTTCCTACCTCAGCATCTTGGGATTTGGCAATGTCCACTAACGTCTTTGCTGCAGGATGGACGACATCAAGAAGTTTGAGGATTGTGGCCCCATCATTAGAAATTGTTGCTTTGCCTTAAGGGAGACAAATATTTACATCTTGAAGCTCTGTCTTAAATTCTGTCTTCTACAGGACTTGGAGTCTTTGTACATTTATTCTTGGGGTCAAACTTTTAAATACCATAGGATCTTGATTTTCTCTGAGTAAAAATTAGTATAGTTCAACTAGACACAGAAAAAAATGTTTTAAATAAGTCAAGCATGGTGGTACACACAAGGAATACTGGCACTGGAAGGCTAAGGCAGAAGCATCTTGCATTTGAAGTTGGCCTTGGTTACACAGTGAGACTTTGTTCCAATAACAGAAGAGTAACCACTTAAGATACTTTAAACACTTCGGAGTGGCACATGCCTTTAATTCCAGCACTCGGGAGGCAGAGGCGGGTGGATCTCTCAGAGTTTGAGGCCAGCCTGGTCTACATAGCGAGTTCCAGGTCAGCTGGGGCTACAGGGAGACCTTGTCACAAAAAGGCCAAAAACCAAAACAAAACAAAAAAATATACTTTAAACATAACACCCTAGTATCTCACATGTCAATATAATACAGCACCAAAGGGCAATTTTCTCATGTAAGCAACGTAATACAATGCAGGAAACCCCAGAGACTACCAATTAGCTCTATATTGTGTTTCTAGGCCATATTTTTCTAGATGGCAATGGACTCCTGAGCCCAGATTCTCCTACCTAACAGTACAGAGTTCAGCATTCAAGAGAGCACTGAGAGATCCTACCAGCAGTGGGATTCCTGATTGCAGCCCTTAGTCCCAGACACCTCCTCTCATATTCACAGCCCCAGGGAACCACGAAGACTTACCTCGACCATCCACAATAAGCTTGTCCATACCACGGGGACCCAGGGTGGTTCTCACAGCCTCAGCAATCACCTGGCAGGCACTGATGTTACTCACAAGCTGAGGGATGCCTTGGGAGCTATCAGTACCCTCTTTCAATAGGATAACTGGTGTGGGCTGGAGAAAAGAAAGCAATTAACTGTCTTTAACAATCATCTGCTACATGAGACTCACAAGAGATTAGACAGGGAAGATGCTCCAAGTTGCTCCATAGTAAAGGTAGCTAGATTCCTTTTTTTTGGTCTTTTTGAGATAGGGTCTCCCTGTAGCCCCAGCTGACCTGGAACTCGCTATGTAGACCAGGCTGGCCTTGAACTCACAGAGATCTGCCCGTCTCTGCCTCCCAAGTGCTGGGATTAAAGGCATGCGCCACCACGCCCAGCTTGGATTCCTTTTTAAAGCACATTCTCTACTAGATATGGTGATGTACACCTGCACTCTGAAGTGTACATCAGTTAAAGCAGGCCCTGCTCTGGGCTCACCCACCAGCAAAACACCCACCAGTTCATGTTAGAGAAGCAGAGGGGGAACTGGTACAGTAAAACGGTGCTGACGCAAGCACCTTCATCACTAATCTTCGGCTACCATCTCCCGTCAGCTCCATAAAGTTCCTGTACAACTAATTTCCTATCGGATACCCCAGAGAAATCTGTCTCTTTCTCATTAGCATTGCCCAGAAGGGTCCCTATCCCTGCAAGGGCTCTTTGTAGAACTGCTTTAGAAAATCTGGGAAGACTGTCTGTTTTAAGGGGCCTGCCTGGATAAAACTGCAGACAGTAGTTGGCAAGCCAGAGCTCCCTCTCCTTATCAAGGAACAAGTTGTGAGTCAGGTCATCGTAGTCCTGGACTAACTCTGCATGTGACAGAATGAAGAATGGGGAAATACTATTTGAGTACATTTGTTGGCAGCTATGTGTTAGGCGCAATGGTTTCAATTTATTTCTTACTTTGCAGTGCAACAAAACTCTTGATAGCCACTGTCCTTGCTTACCCCTAGAGGTACTTAAATACTGAGCAGGGAAGGTACATGAAAAGCCCAGGACTATCCCTGTCTAATAAGGAATAAAGAAGTCAAATTCCTGGGTCTAAGTCCAGAGTAACTGGAAAAGTCCTTAAAGAGTTCAACTCTGTTGGTCCATACAGCTGCTGGGGGGGGTGAATGAGAGGATGATTGGAATAAAGCTGAAGCGGTGGCCAGGAAGTTAGTAACATACAACTTGAGATCAGCCACGGCAAGCTTAGGCTGTATTCCTACACAGAAGAGAAGCCCTGGAAAACCTGCCAGCAGAGAAACCACATATCTTAAAACAACAGAGACCATTGGAGAAGACAAATGAGAGGCAAAATATTTAATGTAGATGTAAAAAGAGCAGCTGGAGAGAGGCATAGTACACCCTAAGAGAATAAAAGGGGGTAGTTTATTATTTTATTTTTTATGTGTACGAGTGTATTGCCTCCATGTAGGTAGGTGAACATGTTGTGCAGTACCCACAGAGGCCAGAAGAAGGCACTGGATCCCCTGGAACTGGAATTATGGACAGTTGTTAGCTGCCATGTAGGTGCTGGGAATCAAACCTGGGTCCTCTGCAAGAGCAGCCAGTGCTCTTAACTGCTGAGCCATCTTTCCAGCCCCGAAAAGGAGTAGTTTAGTGCAATACCAACTAAAAATTTTTAAAGAATATTTGTTGAAGGACAAGGTGGTACACACTTGTAACCCCAAGTACCAAGAAGACTGCAGAAGAATCACCGCCAATTCTAGACCAGCCTGGGCTACAGACCAAGTCCCTGTTTAAAAAAACCAAAACAAAAAAACCCATAAAGCAAAGAAACAATATTAAAAGCTGAAGATGGGAAGGCCTAGAAAGCTAGCTCAGTGGTTAGGCTCTTGATGAGTGCTGATACCAGCACCTGTAACTCTAGCCCCAGGAGATCTCACATCCTCTTCTGGCCTCTGTGGCACCTGTACTCACATGCACATATCCACACAGACACACATAATTAAAAATACATCTTTAAAAAGTGGAAAGAGGGCCGGGCGTGGTGGTGCAGAGGCAGGTGGCTTTCTGTGAGTTCAAGGCCAGCTTGGTCTACACAGCAAGCTCCAGGCCAGCTGAGGCTACTGGGAGAGCCTGTCTCAAAAAACAAAACAAAACAAAGAAAATAAAAACCAAAAGCAAACAAAAAGGTAGAAAGAGAAAAACACCAACTCCCCTACAAAAGCAAACACATCAATCTCTCAGCTGCAGCCCTAAAAGCCAGGAAAGCATGGAGTGATAAATAGCCAAAGAAGTTAACTTCTACCAACCAATACTGTTATGTGCAACAAAGCTATCTTCTAAAACTGATAAGGACATTCTGAGACAAGCACAAAGGTAGCTCATGACCACTAGCACTACAGAAGGTACATGAAGATATACTACACACAGAGAAGGAAGCTATAACTTCTTCCTTGAGCCTTTCTATTAATGTGCCATTTTCTGCTTTGTATTTTGGCCACTTTATCTTTGGTTTCTCTCAAGTATAAACTCCCATTTTAGTGTTTTGTCAGAAGTGTTGGTGCATATTTCCATGTATGTGGCTGTGTGAATGTGGTGAGACTGTTCACTGGAAAATGGTCCCAGGAGGCCACAGAGCAGATCCATTTACACTGAGCAGTGTGGGAAGGTGTTGAAATGTGACATTAAGAACTACGGCTTTGTGCACGGAAAAAAAACTGCGAGGATGCTAAATGCAATTTGCAACCTTGTAAGCTTCAATATGGAAGCAAGAATTAAGAGCAAAACCTCAGCAGGGCCTTGAGTGGGTAGCATCAGTCCCACCTGCACGAAGGAGCTTCAGGCTGAAGCCTGGGTCCAGTCATAGAATGCAACACTACAAAAGATTATGCCTTTATACACAGAGCAGGCAGAGGATGCAATGGACACCACAGGGGCCTGGATAACAACTTTGCAGCAAATGATTGTATACGCAGTTGTTCACCAACTGGCTTAGGACTGTGCCCAGTATGGAAACCAGAGTAAAGGGAGAGAGGCACTACTGGTCCTAAGAAAAGTCAGTAGGCATTCAGGGAGCGTGCCAGATGAGCAAGAGATGTAAAGAGAAATACGAAGTGGCATGTACACATTACATCATGAACTATGGGACTTCAACATATACTCAGAGTGCTTGATACCCAATACAATCACTGCCCCGTTATACAAAGCAGTGGCAGGTACAGCTGATTCTGCTTAAAATTACTTCTCATCTCTACCTCTTTTTCCTTTTAATTTTATGTGTATCAGTATTTTTGTCTGTATTTCTGGATGTATACCATATGCATGCTTAGTACCCACAGAAGTGGGTATCAGATCTCCAGGACTAGAATTACAGGCAGTTTAGCTTCATGTGAGTGCGGGGAAATGAACCTGGGTCCTCTACAAGAAAAGCAAGTGACAGCCAAGTATGATGACACATACCTTTAATCCCAGAACTTGGGAGGCAATCTCTGTCAGTTTGAATCCAACCTGGTCTGCATAGCGAGTTTCAGCCCTGCTAGGGCTACAGGGAGACCCTGTCTCAAACACACACACACACAAAACAAACAAACAAACAAAACAAAAACAGCAAATGCTCTTACTGCTGAGCCATCTCTCTAGTCCCACCTGTGCCTCTCTTGATCCCCATGGTAGGTATCTGTTGCACACTATAGACTCAGACCCCACTGATGAAGAGAACTATGGATAGGAGCCTGAAAGTGAGTTGTCCCAAGTTTCAGCAGTCATGCAGAATTCCCTCTTGGGCAGCCCTGTATGAGCAAGAGTAACATGGGGATCAGGCATTATAAGCCTTTTAGGCTTGAGATGGAATGTGTGGAGGCAGAAATCCCAAGTTGCAGCTGTGCATGAGAATACACTTCTCATGTACCCCATCTCCAATACCTTCTCCACCCTCAATTTAGCCCTTCTGGAACCATGGACCTTAATGTACCTTGCTAAGTACAGACTTGCTCTCCTTTCCTCTCTCCTACTCATTTTCCTGTTCTTTCTGCTGTTTAATAGTTCCTTGGCTGACATTCATGTTCTTCCTAAAGGCCTCATTATATGTAGAAACTGTAGGGGGCTGTGCTGTCCCCTCCTTGCCTCTTGACTTCAAGGGGTTTTAGACTGGAAATGACCTTAAGAGTCTCTGCTCCCAGTTTCTCTTTTGGCCCAAATGCTACACTAGACCTACAGAGATAAGCCCTTTTTTTTCAGTGAAATAAAGGGCCTTTCACCTTAAAATAATAATGGATAATCTCTTTGAAGAAACAAAGGGTACTATATAATTATTAGGTTATTCTATAAATATTTGGGGGTGGGAGACAGAGTCCCCCTGTATCCCCAACTGGCCTGGAACTTACTATATAGACCAGGCTAGCCTTATCTCAGAGATCCTCCTGCCTCTGCCTCCTGTATGCCTGGACTTTAGACATGTGCAGCTCTCTATGAACATTTTTCAAACTGAACTGCTTATTTGTCAAAATCCTGTCTGTGAGCAGTAAGAGGCAGGCAGGTACTGCTGGCAACACAGGCACTTCTGTGCAGGTTCTACAGCAGGACACATGGCAGGCAGCATGAGCATCCCCTGCCAACTGGCCAGAACCACATCTTGCTGATTTCCACACCCAATCAAGAGGATCTGAACTTCAATGAAATAAAAATGAAGCCAGGCATAGTGTACAACTTTAATCTCAGCAGGGGCAGAAGGATCTCACAGAGATCTCTGTGAGGTTGAGGACAGACTGGTCTACATAATGAGTTCTAGGCCAGCTGGGGCTACAGGGAGATCCGGTGTAAAAAAACAAAAGCAAAACAAGAAAAACAAAAGACTCGAGAGATAGCTCTGTAGTTAAGAGCACTTGCTGCCCTTGCAAAGGGCCTGGGTTCGGTTCCCAATACCCACATGATGGCTAACAACCATCTGTAACTCTAGTTCCAGGGGGATCTGACGCCCTTTTCTTGCCTCTGTGGGCACTGCACGCATGTGGTATGTTTACACAGGTGCAAGCTAAAAACTCACATAAAATAAACAGAAATTAAAAAAAGAAAGCTTTAATTGAGAGAAGACTGACCCTGAATGTGAGCAGAACCATTCCATGGGCTGGAGTTCTGGGCTGACTAGAAAGGAGGGTGCACTGAGGACAGTATTCATCTCTCTTGCTGCTTTCTAACTGGAAATGCAACATTGGCAAGCCAGTCCAGTCAGAGCCATTTCTTCTCTGCCATGGACTGCACCCTCAAAATGTGAGCTAAAACAAATTCTTAAAAACAAACAACAACAAAAAACCCCACAAAATTCACCAGGCGTGATGGCACATGCCTTTAATCCCAGTACTTGGGAGGCAGAGGCAGGCAGATCTCTGTTAGGTCTCCATAGTGAATCCAAGCCAGTTGTGGCTACAGGGAAACCCTCTCTCAAAAAGAAAAAAACAAATGAAATGAAAAAAATCACATGCTATATCTTAACTCACTTTGAGACTTATTGTCCTTCAATGTAATGAAAAATTGGATCAAGGTGCTCTACTCAAAACTGCATGTATAGACACACAAGTCTACAAGGTATCTACAAACTGAGGAAGATTTATTTTTTCACAGAAAAAGACAGTTGAAGGGAAACAGACTGTCAAATAAAAGAAAAAAAATTTGTTTTTGGTGTTTGAGACTGGGTCTCCCTGTAGTGGGGGCTGGCCTTGAACTCAGAGATCCACCTGCCTCAGCCTCCCAAGTGCTGGGATTAAAGGCGTGCCCGGAAAGAAGAGTGGAGTATAAAAATAGACTTGAACTGAAGAGATATGGCTACAGGGTCTTGGAGAGCAGTAGCAGAGGAAAGAAATGGTGAGAGGCAGACAGACAGAAGGGGGCAGCATATACCCCCTAGGTTCAATCAATACCAGTGGACAATCTCAAACTATCTCAAATTCTTTATTTTACTACTTGTTATTGCCAAGCCTACCATAGCACAATGAATACATAAGGAAACTATAGTATGAGGGGGTGGGGAAGAGGAATTTTGTCAGGTAATTCTCCTAGATCTGGAGATCTTTTCCTGGAGAATCCCATGTCTGGTGCCAACAAATGGTTTCTCTTTACTCTCAGCATTCTTTGGAAGCCACAGTGGGCCTGGTCTCTAGTAACATCTATATGGGAAAGATCCATTTCCCCAAAGGCCCCACCTTCTCATGGTCCTGCTAAATCATTCCTTAGGACAGTCTAAAGCTTCCTCTTAGAAATCAAGTCAGACATAATGATGATGTAATTCTAGTACTTATATGATGAAGGCAGGAGGACTGCTGATTTCAAGGCCATCCATGGGAAGAGAAGGATGGCAATGGTGCAGTGAACTGAGCCAGGCTAAGCAAAGTTAAGCCCTCTTCTGCCACTTCCCAGCAACAAGCACTGCAATGTGGAGCCTAGGCCTGTCCTTACTTTTCACCTCACTCTTTAAAAAAAAAAAAAAAAATTATTTTTATTTTATGTGCATGAGTGTAATCGCCTGCAAGTATGTTGAGTGTACCAGTGTCATGCAATGCTGCAGAGGTCAGAAGAGGGCATCAGATTCCCCTGGAACTGGAGTTAAGGATGATTTGTAGACACCATGTGGGTGCTGGGAATCGAACCCGGGTCCTCTGCAAGAGGAGTCAGTGCTCTTAACTGCTGAGCCATCTCTCCAGTCTCCCACCTCACTCTTTTATCCCTCCAGTAATTACACCATGAGAATCATAAAAGGCTTTGGGGTTTCATCTTAATGATCTTTCTTTAAAATGGTTATAAAGGGGCTGGAGAGATGGCTCAGCAGTTAAAAACAGCACTGGCTGTTTTTGCAGAAGAACTGGGTTCAAATTCCAGAACCCACATGGCGGCTAACAACGGTCTGTAAGTACATTTCCAGGGAATCCAATGCCCTCTTCTGTCCTTTGTGGGTATTGCATAACATGGGTACACTTACTTACATGCAGTCAAAACACTCATATAAATAAATAAAATACTTGAAACAGTTTAAGGGACTGGAGAGATGGCTTAGTGGTTAAAAGCATCTGCTCCTCTTCCAGAGAACCCAGGTTCAGTTCTCAGTACCCACATGATGGCTCACAACTGCCTCTAAATCCAGTTCCAGGGGCGCAACCTCTTCTGGTCTCTGAGGACACCAGGCATGCATGTGGTGCACATACATACATACAGGCAAACATTCATACACATAAAAAGTCACTGGCTACACAAGTGTGGTCCCTGGAACCTACATAAATAGCTCAATATGCTGGTGTTTACCTGTAATCCCACTATTCCTATAGTGAGATCAATCATCCAGGAGCTTGGAGGCCAGCTAACCTGGAGTATACAGCAGAGCAGCAGAAACAAGAGCCCCTGCCTCAACAAGATGCAAGGTGAGAAACAATTCTGCAAAGTTTTCCTATAAGTATGACCTCCACACTTGTACATGTGTGGGGCCTACACTCCCACACAAAATAAACAAGTTTGAGTGAAGCATGGTGGTCCATACTATAACCACAGTTACCCAGAGGCTGAGGCAGATCATGAGTTCCATACCATTCTAGGTGTTCTTATTTTATTTCTGTTGCCATGACAAAATACCCATGGCTAAAGCAACTTAGGGGGAAAAGGGTTTATTTTCACTCACAATTCCAGGTTACAGCCCATTATTTCAGAAGTTACCAAGGCTACAGGAACTTGAAGCAGCTGGTCACATCACATCCACAGTTAAGAGCAGAGAGAAATAAAACCCATGCATGCTGTTTGCTTGATAGGGCTTAGCTAGCTTTCCCATCTTAGCACCCCAAGTCAGAAATGGGTCCCGCATTAGTTAAAGCAATGGAAACAATTCTGGGGCTGGAGAGAAGCTCAGCAGTTAAGAGCACTGGCTGCTCTGTAGAGAACCCAGGTTAGGTTTCCAGAACTCACACTGGTGGCTATAACTCCAGTTCCAAGAGATCTGAAACCCTCTTTTGACCTCTGAAGGCACTGCACAACACGAGTGCACTTACATACATACAGGCAAAACACACATAAATATAAAATAATTTAAAAAGATAATTCTCCTCAGGTATGTCCACAGACCAATCTGATCTAGAAAAATACTCATTGAGACTCTCTTCCCAGGTCATTCTGGACTGCGATCAACTTGGCAAAACCAGCCATCACACTAGGCTACACAGTGAATTCCAGTCAAGCCTTGGCCTATAGAGGAAGATCTCGTCTTAAAAAAAAAAAAAAGACAAAAAAGCGAACAGACACTGTGGATGTTTGCCTATCGTGTATGTATATATTAGGTTCAATCCTCAGAACCTGAGAAAACAAAAACAAAGCCATCATCATTAACATTAAGCTTGATGTTCTGTAAAACAGCAGAGTATTAAATTATATACTTGAATACCACAAAGGTAAGGGGACTTTTTATTTTAGATGGGCCAAAGTCACAGGATTGAGATTTCAAGGGACCTTTTTAGCTTCCATCACAAAGGGCTTCTAGACTATCAGGGACCAATCTGGTGACAGCATGGTGGACTCCTGGTGATACAAGTGTCATTCCAAAAGAGATATCCAGCAAGGAAACAAGACAATGTAACAGAGCAAGAATTATGAATTCTGGTAAAACCCAAGTCTGGTGGTCTGTGACCCAGTCTTGGTTCTGCTCCTCAGCTCTGGTCCTTTGAGTCAATTTTAAGGATAAGTAATGTTGAAAATGGACTCTGAAAAGAGCAGTGTAGGGGCACTGTCTGAAGGGATTAGAGCACAGAAGTTGGATTCACAAAGCATTTGGTAGCAGAGAGAACGCCACCTTACAAGGGCCAGTCAGTCGGGCATCTATGAAGACAGAAGTTTCAGAGAGCAGGAAAAGAGAACAGAGGACTGAGGCCGAAAAGTCAAAAATCTGTTGCCAAGTGCACAGGACATTGCCTTGGAAGTTGGCTCTGCTCAACAGTAACCAGGGTTTGCGGTAGACCGAAGGCATCCGACGCTCTGCAAGGGAGACGGGGGTGAGGGAGACACAGAACTATAGGCAAGCCCTTAAGGAGACTCTCCTAAGGCATCCAGATTATTCCATCTCCGTTGGAGTGAGTAGCCCCATCTGCTGCCCTTTTCCAGCAAGCTGAGCCTGAGACATTCAGGAGACGGTAAAAATGCACCGCTGAAGGACAGTGGGTGTTCTGTTCCGACACTGTTTGCACGCCTGCTGCAGTGGGCCGACTAGATGAGAACGACCACGAAGAGACGCAGGGCTCCAGCCCAGCCCACGCTGCCTCTTCGTGCTCCAGCTCCTTTACTTCCGCACCTCCCAGAGCTGCAATGCCCCACCGTACACACCTTCAAATCACTCCGTTCCGAAAACCTAAGCCTCGATAACAGCGGGAGAGAAAGGGTTCGCGGCCACGAAGCACCCTGGACCCGTAGTCTCCGATCCCAGAGGAGTCGAGAGCCTCACAGGGTTCTCACCAACCACCCCTGCTCCCAGCAGCCCACAAACATGGGGAGGACAGCGGTGAGAAACCGCTGAGATCCCGCACGGCGACCCGGGCCCCGCGGCCGCGCATTGCGGCGGATGACGGCGGATACGCGGGACGCTGCTTACCATCATCTTGAAAGCAGCCTCAGCAGCCCTCTACCCGTCTGCTCTCCACCTCCCGGCCGCCCACTAAGCCCACAATGCCCCGCGCCAGAGCCCCAGAAGCTTCCCCGAGACGTTGGTATGAGAGGAAGGGGATGGGCCACTTCCGCCACTCTATGGTTAGCGTCCACCGAGTCTGCTGGCTAGAGCGGCCAGAGGCCGCCGCAGACTGAAAGGAGCGGTAGCCGGGTAGTCACGTGCTTTTTCTCTGAGGGTGTAGGGTCCTAGTTCAGCCCGTGTCCAGGACACTAAGGCGTGCAATAAAATGTAAACACTGAACGCCGGCCTTGGGGCTGGCTTGAGCTATGTCAGCACCCCACGTGAGTGATCTCACGAAACCCTAACAACTCTGTGGTTTGGTACCCTGTGCGCCTCGCAGACGAGCCCGGGAGATTAAGAGTCTCTCGGGTCACAGACTTATAGCCCGTGGGAGAGAAGAGGGCGCGGGAAACTGAGCGCGACTAACTCTACAGCCAGCCCTCAAAGGCGGAGGCTGGAAAGGGTGGGGACCTGGAGCGCAGAGCTCTTCTTCAGGCTGGGTGGAGGAGACCCCAGAACCGCCTGGCACTGCAGTTAGAGATCGCCACCAACCGCCCACCACGGTCTGGGAGTCGCGTCTATACTGAGAAGCGCGGGGGCGGAGCTGGAAGCAGCAGTTGCTTTTAAGAATTTTGGCCAATCAGACCTCGGTTCCACTTCTCTTGACCAATAGGAAGTGGGCTAAGGCGCAGAGGCGGAAAGTGCGGCTACGAGCAGGCGTCGCAGCCAATCAGCCGTGAGCCTGGGTTCCGTCCTCCAATCGGCGCGGAGAGCGGGTCCGGGGGCGGGAGGTCGGAGCAGCTGTCAGGCTAAAGTCCGGCTAGCAGAGCGCGGCGGGACGACGGAGGAGGCAGATCCTGGCCCGGCCCTGGAGATGGGCCGTGGCGCCGCGGGCTGGTGCTGTCTCGTGCTCTGGCTGCCCGCGTGCGTCGCGGCCCACGGTGAGCAGCAACGGGCGGGGTTGAGGGGCGGGGCAGGCCGTCCAGCCTGTGCGGTGTTCGGGCTGGGGGCCACGGGTCACCTTGGGGACCCCGCGAGTTGGAGTCAGTTCTCGCGACGGACGGCTGCAGTCGGTGGGTGCTGGTCCTTGAGGTCATGACCTGGCGCAGCCCAAGGCTAGGTTCTAAGCCTTTAACACCTCCAGCCCACCTCCCACTAAGGACTAAGGTAGGCTCCTCCAGCCCACCTCCCACTAAGGACAACCCAGGTGACTCGTGCGATCAGGGGGCACAGGGACAGCTGTGGAAAAACATGAGCATTCAGACGTTCCTACACTTGGACTCACACGCACAGGCACTCGCTTACACAACTCGCACATAAATGTACACACCTACGCACATAAGTGAACACATGCATATACCCCCAGTTTTATGTAGATATGCACATGAAACGCCAAGCCAGGGAATGCTTAATGAAAAGGGGGTGTCTAAGGCTAATCCAGCAAAGCTTCCCAGGGTGTGTATTCATCTGGTGGGGAGTACCTACACCCAAGTCCAAAAGCTACAAGCCCATTAAGCTCTGTGTGGCTGTGGTTTGGACATGAGACAGGAACAGAGTCCGCCAGTCCCAACTGCAACTCAGTGGTAACTAGCTGGATTGACTAGCAGACCTGAGGCAACAGCTTCCAAATCCATCAACATTCATTCTCCTTTCTGTGCTAAAGAATCCAGAGACTTAATTCCCAGGAAATCATTAAACTCTGTTGCTGAAGAAAGTTTCTATACCCCAGAAAAAAAAAAAAAAAACCTCAATTGTTCTGGCAATTCTCTTGCTCAGGACAGCAGAGGTAGGCAGAGTTGTTTATTCACCTTTACTGAGACCACTGTATTTCCAACCACTGGGGATTCCACACTGAGTAAAACCACAAACTTAGAATCATGGCTCTAGTGGCAGAGGCAGAATTAGACTATTAGGAATGCTGCAGAATTACAAGGAAGTATCAGTTGGAAGAAACTATTTGAATGGGTATAGGAAGGGACAAATTATGCACAAACAGAAGCTTTCTGCTTCATGTAAGCTTTTAGGAATACCTAAAGAGATGAAAAACTGAAAGGTCAGTGTAGCTTGATCATGGAAAAGAGGAGGTAAGATTGGAGTAGGAATCAGATCAATTAGGGCCCTCTAGGCCACTGTGAAGGGGAGACTGAAGCTCTAAGAGAGGTGGGATGGCCATAATTACTAAGATGCTTTAAAATCTCTGGTGGTTGATTGGGAGATGGACCTTAAGGTGCAAGAATGGAGTCAGATGGCTTCGAAGCAGAGGCAGGAGAATCACTTGAGCCCAACCACCGGAAACCAGTCTGGGCAACATAGCAAGACCTCTTCTCAAAAAGCAAACATGGAAGCAACACCAGTTAAGAAAGTAACAGTCTGGAAAAGAGGTGATGGTGATGGGACTAGGAGTTGACAGAGGGACCAGAGTCAACTTGTAAGTTTTAGTGAGAAACTCGGAGGCTTCCTTTAAAGCATTCTGAAACTCTCAGGTCCTCCGAAGAGCAAGGGTGGTTGTTAACCCAAGAGCTCTGGGTCTGTGTGGCTCACTTGTGGCAGCAACAGCAGCATATATAAATCTCCTGCATTCACTGTCCTCTCCAGTTCAGAAACCATCTCTCTCGAGCTAGCTGTGGTAAAGCATGTCTGTAATGTCAGTGCTTGGGGAGGAACAATCAAAGAGGATCAGGGATGCATGGCATAGTGGTGCATACCTTTATTCCCAGCACTTGGGGCAGAGGCAGGTGGATCTCTGTGAGATTGAGGCCATCCTGGTCTACACATCAAGTTCCAGACAACTGGGGCTACAGGGAGACCCTGTCTCAAAAAACAAAACAAAAAAGATCAGGGGATTCAAGGCCCACCAAGGCAATATTACTAGTTCAAATCCAGTCTGAGCTATGTGAGACCATTTAACAAAACAAAAAAGAAACCCTTTAGCCCACCAACCCATAGGACCCAATCAGTTTAAGCCAGGTCTCTGGACCCAGACTATAGCCTGCCCAGTTGAAGACATGGGGAGCCCCATGATCCAAAACCAAACCGTTTGCTCCTGGGAGGCTTTTCATCCATACTCCTTTTACTTTAGGCTTACGTATCCATGACTATTTGTACTTCCAAGTGCTGAGTCCTGGGGATATTCGATACATCTTCACAGCCACGCCTGCCAAGGACTTTGGCGGTATATTTGTAAGTTCAAAGAGTCCCTATCTCTGAATCTCAGCCTCCCCTTTCCTTCACTGAGCCATGGTGACCCTCATCTCACTTTTGTGCTTTAATTGGGCAGGGAAAAATCCAGCTGTGCTCTCCAGGATCTGCTGTGCAGAATGAAATGCTTCCTATTGTTCCCTGTGCATATTGCAAAGCTGGGAGGCACTATTTTTTTTTTTTTTTTGGTGGACATTTAATGAAAAGCCAAGAGCACTAGCTTTCTCTACCTACTACCTCTTCCCTAGGTTATGAGCAGCTCCCCTATCTCACAGAAAGGCAGAGTGTGGTTGAGTAATTAGATGGGCCTTTCTGAGAATTAGGTTAAAATGCTCAAGTGCCCAGCCACAGAGAAACCATTCCATATATCTTTCACTCTTTACAAGGTGGGATTATCAGCCCACTGCCAAAAATGTCTCCTTACACTCATCCAAATGTCTAAACATTTTTCAGCACACACGGTATGAACAGATTCACCTTGTCCCGGCCGAACCTCCGGAGGCCTGTGGGGAGCTCAGCAACGGTTTCTTCATCCAGGACCAGATTGCTCTGGTGGAAAGGGGGTAAGGAGTGGGTAGGTGCAGCACATAGGGAGGGCAGATTCTGAAATCACAGCTCCTGCTGCTTTGAAATAGGCAATTTTAAAATAATTCATCCTTTTACAGGTTAAGAAATGTCATGATTATCTACTTTTAGCTGTTTTATAAAGTTCTCTACAGTTCTTTCATTCTTCCAGGGAAAGGACATGAGGGGCAACTACAGCTTGTCTTTCCTCTGGTCTTATCACTACCTCTTCCAGGGGCTGCTCCTTCCTCTCCAAGACCCGAGTGGTACAGGAGCATGGTGGGAGGGCTGTGATCATCTCAGACAATGCAGTTGACAATGACAGCTTCTACGTGGAGATGATCCAGGACAGTTCTCAACGCACAGCTGACATTCCTGCCCTCTTCCTGCTTGGCCGAGATGGGTGAGGGTTCTTTGCCTCTGGCTCTCAGCACCAAGCTGGGTAGCATCACTTGGGGAGGTCAAGGGTAATCACAGTCCCCTGAAGCCCTTGCTGTGGAGGGCAAAAAAGCTGTTGGGTTCTGGAACTCCCATAGTGATGGGGCAGAGGGGAATTTGGGGGAGCTGAGAAATGACCATGGCCACTGCTCTTCATGCCCTCCCAGCTACATGATCCGACGCTCCCTGGAACAGCATGGGCTGCCGTGGGCCATCATCTCCATCCCAGTCAATGTCACCAGTATCCCTACCTTTGAGCTGCTGCAGCCTCCCTGGACTTTCTGGTAGAAGAGTTGATCCCAGGTTCCAGCTACAAGTGACTCTAGGCTGGGAAAGGGAAGCCCAGGAATTCTGCTATTTGGAGTTTGGGGATAGCATCTGAGGACAAGTAAAACCAAACAGAATAAAGGCCCTGGCCAGGATGAGGGCAGGAAACCACACCACTGGCTTTCCCTTCCCTAGGGCCTGCAAGGACATCTTATGCTCCAGGAAGAGGAAAGAGCCAGGCTCAGGACTTCTTGTTAGCATATGGAACAAAAGGAGCTGAAGGCAGGCAGTCCTGTCTTCTGTGACCAGTTCTATACCACCTGGTTCAGCCTCCCCCAGCCAGGATCTCCTCACAGTGAGTCTCAAGCTGATGTTGAAGTGGCTTAAGGAACTGGTTTGGAGACTAATAAACCCACTGAATTTTTAGCAATAAAGTTACTCATCAGGGTTGCAGTTGTGTCCTAGACTAAGAACACATGGGCATGGGAGACTCCAAGACACTCATCTGGTTCTAAACCATACCACAGTTCTGAGAGGAGGCCCAGAGAAGATAATGGCTTCCAGACCCTTTGGGATGAGCACTCAAGGCTGCTAGTTGTACTCCAGCCCCTGGGAAGAAGATTCATGTTGCAGTCTTAGAGCTGAGGATTGAAATTAAACCTCAAGAGTCTTCTGGCTTTAGGAACTTTACACAGTAGCGTGTGGATGACATGGGATGTACTCTGAGAAACTTGGGTCACTCTACTGCCCCCAACTAGTCTTTGTGTCTTTTGTACCCACTTCTGACTGCTGCAAGCCTGGGTGGTTCATCCAGCCCATTCTCCACAAAGCATCGCTGCAGAGGCCTGTCACCACTCACATTTTATTGAGATCAGTGGGCAGGTGGGGTGTGAAGGGGTGCTGGCTGTGGAGTAAGCCTGACAGGTAAGGGGGCCAACCAGGGATGTTTCACCTGGCTCCAAGATCCTGGAAAGGACTTGTGGCAATGCAGCTGTCCTCCCTGGGAACCCCTAACAAGGCGATGTGCAGGCCCAAGGGAAGGTAGCTAGGAAGGAACTGGGAGTGGTAGTTCTATTTCCCATGGCACCCACCCCAAGAGTGAGATGCCTTCACGTGTCCTGCCCTGCTCCTTTAGGTTTCTGGAAGACGTCCATGTTCCTCTATGGAGACTGTAAAGGTGGACATCTGAGGCCCAGAGACCCCTTGCTGACTTATTTCAGCTGGTCTCAGGGAAGAGAGTATCCTAAATTATGTCATCTGCCACAATGCTGGAGTCCTCCATGGCAAGAAGTTTGAAAAAGGGTTGTCTCCATCCTGGAGGAAGACAGAGGCCTCTCCATACCTCGAGGGGCCAGCCACCTTGCCTGGACCCGAGAGGCAAGGCACAAGGTACAGCAGCTCTGGAGTCTGAAGGACAGGGTAATCTCCACCTCCACCATGTCTGGTGGGAACGGGTGCAGCACCCTGGTAGGGAGCCTTCAGGAAGTTTTGCCTCTTGGTGGCCACAGTCTGCATCTGCAGAGTGGGCAGTAAGGTAGAGGTGAGGTGCCTCATCACTTCTTACTGCTTCATGGAAACCAGGCTGTTCTCAAATTTGCCATTTTGTTGCCCCCTCTCAAATCAATAGCCAGCAGAAAGGGGTCAAGCCTCAGCTGGGTGAGAGAGAGTGGGCCAAATGGCCCAAGGGGAAGAACATTACCAGGCCGCAAGCCTGGTTCCAGTCACACCTACAGTGGAGTAATGGCAAGGGAAAGCCAGTTCTGGAAGTCTCGGTGGCATGGGGCTGATGCGACTCAGCAGCAGTGTTCAGGGCATGAGGTCTTGTTGGGGATATAGGGCCTAGGTCCAGCCTATCCTGCCTTCCGGCAGAATACCAGAAGACAGAAAGCAGGTAATGGGGGCAGGGGTTCCTTCCAACCACATTTGTGGGGGAGGGGCCCCCTTTTCCAGCAGCATCTGGGATAGGGCCCCTTCAGGCAGAGTAACATCACACATCAGTCATCTCATCGCCTAGCTCTGCATCTTCTGGCTCTCCTTCCTCCTCATCTTCCTCCTCCTCTTCCTCCTCCTCTGAGGTCACATTGGGTTCATCCACCTCTGCCAGGCATTTGGGGCAGGAACAGACAAACAGATAGTTCTCCCTGCAGGGAGGGAGGGATAAGTCAGGCAGCTGCTGGGATGAAAGACCCCAGAGCCCAGCTACCCAACCATGTCCCCAGCTAGCACCTGAGGATTTTGTGGCGGCTGTGGCGGCTGCGCTCCCGTTGACAGCAGTCTAAGTAGCTGATACAGATTTCCTGTGGGACAGAGGAGGGTCTGATTGTCTGTACTCTTTCCACCAGACAGGATAAGAGCCTCCCCAACAGCTGCCCCATCTATTGCCAGCCATTGCTCTTTCCCTGAGAGGCAGGCCTTCATTGCCCTTTAGCCATGATCCATACCCCATACCTCTAACAAGTAAGTTATTACAAGGCTCTAACTATCCACATTGAGTCTGAGACAGGAGGCTATAGTTAAGTTTAGGCCATGTTTGTGAATGCCAGCTAGCGGCCAAGGTCTTGATGTTACTTATCAGGGAGAATATTCAACCAGGCTCTGGTCACTGCAATAATCAGGAGCCCCCCACCCCCAATCCATACTATCTCTTGTGACCTATGCCACAAAGAGATCAAAAAAGGTGACTGTGGTCAGGGACTTGAGCAGAGGTTCTCCCCCAGTCTGAGACTTTTATAAGTTTCTGTTTCGTTTAAGAAGTGGATGGAGTTAGAACATACTCATGGGCAAAAGGACTCGGGTCCTAGAACACATGGGGACTCACCCATCAGCCTAAAGGGGCTCCTACCAGTCGCTGCTGCTCTTGATCCCTTAAGAAAACCTACAAGGCCCGCTGTCCATCCCTCTGCCATGGACCTCTCACCTCGCCTGGCTTAATATCCTCAAGGGCGGTGACATGCAAAAGGAAGTTGTTTTCTGGAAAGGAGGTCTCTGCATTGGGGACACAGCTGTGGTTGCCTGGGTTACAAAAGGCAGGTAATAAAGTTATTGTTTGTGTATGTATGTTGTTTTCAGCACTAGGACAGAATCTAGGACCTGCATGTTAGGCAAATGTTCCATCACTGATCTAGATCCCTAGTCCTTAGTTTTTTGAGTTAGGGTCTTGCTGTGTATCAGGTTGCTAGTACACCACCATGCTGTTATGGGGGCTGATTAAAAAACAACCAAACCAATATTCTAAGGCCAGAGAGATGGCCTAGCAGGTAAAGGTGCTTGCCACCAAGCCTGACAACCTGAATTTGATCAACAGGACCCCACTTGGTAGAAAGACAGAACCAATTCTGAAAGTTGTCCTCTGACTTTCACATGCCTGCTATGACATGGGGACTCACATGCACACACACAAAATAAATGTTAAAATGAAACAAAATTAAAACAATGATTTGGGTATGGTGGTACATGCCCTTAATCCTGGGACTTGGGAGACAGAGACAAGGGTATCTACAAAGCCAGTTCCAGGTCAGCCAGTGCTACATAATGAGTCTCCGTCTCAAAAAAAGCAAACACCTTAAGGCATACATAGTGCCTCACATCTATAATATTTCCAGCCTTCAGGAGACAGGCAGGACTGCTGCAAATTTGAGGCCCAACTGGGCTACATGAAGAGTTTTAGGCCAGCCAGGAGTCAGAGACCCTGCCTTTAAAAAAAAAAAAAAGGCTCGGCATGGTACCCCATGCCTGTAATCTCAGCACTTGGGTGGTAGAGGCAGGAGGAAGAGGAGTTCAAAGTTATCCTTGACTACACAGTAAGTTCAAGGTCAGCCTGGGCTATTAGAGATGGTTTCAAAAAAACAAAAACTGAACTCTGGCCATGTGTGGTAGCATACCTCTTTAATCCCAGCACTCTGGAGGCAGAGGCAGGCAGTTCTCTGTGAGTTTGAGGTCAGTTTGGTCAACATAGCAAGTCCCAGAACAGCCAGTGCTATACAGTGAGACTTCCCAAAAAACAAATAAAACCTCTGCAGAACACTGAATCCCTCGCTTTGTGGCTGAACACTGAGGAAGAGCAGGTATGAGACCCCATTTCTTGCTCCCTACCCAGTGCTCTTTCCTGAAGAGCACAGCGTAGATGCAGTACACCCTATTATCACTGTCCACCTCCATCCTCGCCAGACTAGCCATATCATTCTCAGTTGTGTTTCCACTGTCTTGCTAAAGGAGGCACAGGGCTCTGAGGGTGACCACAAGCAGACCATTTTTTGTCCACTTACTCAGGGCCCCTGACCACCCAGCCTGGGAGGGAGGAGTGAGTAGTGAGAAAAACAGGAAGCAAAACACTGAGATCTGGAAAAGGCCCTTGTTGGAGGTTGCTCTGGCCTTCCCCAAAAGGTGCTACAGAGTGTCTTTCAGCCTTGGATTCCCCCTCCCAAGGTCCTGAAGGTCTCTCCGATTCTCCCAATCTCCCAACCATACCCCACAGGGCAGTGGTGGTACAATGCCCATGCTGTCTTTGCAGGAAGTAGGGCTCTGTGCCTCTCTTAGGCAGGCCTGGCCAACCCTATCATCTATTATAAAAAAAGGAGGGAGCTGGGGATGAAGTCTTGGGTTTGGTCCCCTAGTAACACCACAAATAGGCACAAGCAGTCAAATAAATGAATGAAAAAACTGCTAAGGGGCTGGAGAGGTGGTTCAGTGGTTAAGAGCACTGACGGCTCTTGCAGAGGACCCAGATTTGGGTCCCAGCACCCACATGGAGGCTAACAACTCTTAACTCCAATTCCAGGGGATCAATGCCTTCTTCTGATGACCTCAGTCACTGCACAACACAGGTGCACTTACATACATACACATAGGCAATACATTCATACATATAAAAATAAGTAAAATATTAAAATAAAAAACTGATAGAGCAAAAATATCCAAGGGAATTTCCAAAGAAGCACAGACTAAACTGACTTTCAGGCTTGACTTGGTCCACCTAAAAAGGACAAACTTGGGCTGGAGAGATGGCTCAACAGTTAAGAATACTTGCTGTTCTTCCAGAGGACCCAGGTTCAATTCCCAACACCCATATGGCAGCTAACAACTGTCTGTAACTTTAGTTCCAGGGGATCTGACACTCTCTTCTGACCTCCCTGAGCACTGCATGTACGTGGTACACTTACATACATTCAGGCAAAACACTCATACATATAAAATAAAAAAATTTTTTTAAAAAGGGCAAACCAAGAACGATCAGGTAAGGGAGAAATGTGTGGGGCCAGCCCTCCCCAGTGCCAAAACTCACAGCAGCTCTGAAGTACAAAGAGGCCAGATCCTTCACAGTTAAGGAACTCGCCGGTTGCTGGAAGAAAATAATTTGCAGATGCAGGTGGGAGAAGAAAACTAGATTCAGAAGGACAGGCACCAGCTCCTCTGTCCTGCCACCCACCACACTAGACACTAGCTCTGCTGTCTGCCACCCGTCACTCCAGACATCCAGGCCTAAACTTACTTCTCTGAGACAATCCCTGCTCTTCTGTCTGCAAGACCACCCTATATGGCACTCCCAGCATTGAGCCTCTGCATGGATCTCAGAGCCATTTCTCACCTGTGTGTCCTGTGGACAGATTTTGAGGATTCCCACAGGCACACAGGGATTCTCTTCCTCCACCAAGAACTATATCTACCATATAAGGAATCTCTAAGGCTGGGTGAGGCCACAGCGCCATCTTACCAACCTGCTTCGATGTCCTTGTACAACTGGTCAATGAAGATGTCCAGCTGCTCACGGTCCTGGGGCTTCAGCTCCAGCGCATCACAGGCATGAACCCACTGGCTCAGGGAGCTGGGGGGTAGTTCCCATATAACCCGTGGTTGGAAGGACCAGGCCCAGGTCACAGGACATCTAGACATGTTACACCCAGGCAGAAGAATCTCCCACTCCACCCTTCTTTCTCCAGGGTAGGAACCCAATTTCTCAACAGCAGCAGACCCCCCTGCCTCATTCCTTCTGACTCCTGTCCAGGTCAGTGCTGAAGCCACAACACCCAACTCCACCCTAGTCTTGAAAAAAAGCTGTGGCTACCTTCTTCCATCAGTCTTCACCTAAACCCTAAGGGATAACCTAATAAGTCTGGAATATTCTCTCCTAACCTGGTTCCAATTCCTTGGCCATTGGTCCCAACAAGAGCAAAGAGAGACCGGAATCCATCTGGAGTAAACCACTGTAGGGAGAGAGAGATGAGTCACCTGCCATTCTTTCTGATCTGCTGTAGGAAGAATTTTGAGAACTGATCTCCCGCTGGTTGTGGTGGGGCACACCGGTAGGATACCCTGAAGAGAGTTGACCTGCCATACTCACCTGGCTGAGAGCCTCCTCATAAAGGGCCTCTGTGAAAAGCCTCCGTAGAAATTCCAGCTGGCCCTGGTTTGGGGGAAGAAGAGGCACACTTGCATCCCTGGGGCAGGCTGGATAAACCAGGTGAGGAGAGGAAAACGAGCCAGCTCTATGGGCTGACTTCTCTGGGGGTAAAGCCCATGAGTGTTCCTCCCCAAAGAGCACTGGCAGTCCCTTGGCTGGCTCCAACTTGGGGTGTGAACCTAAACATTCTCCCTATTTCCAGCACTTATTCCAGCAAGGCTGTGGTAACAGGTTAAGAACACCTCCTTAACCCTCTTTACATTCTCCTGACATGGCCACTGATCAGCTTGACTCTCCCTTTCATTTGCCTAGATCCAGTATAGGAGCACATGCCCTGAGAGATGCATCTTCCCCATAGCTGCCTCCACCCTCTGGCCACCTCTACTCTCCTGCAGCTCCAAGGGAAGGCCACTGTTATAAGTGTCTGATTCCCACTGCCCTCTTACTCTGTAGACTCCTAGCTCTCCCCAGAGGGCTAGTGTGCCCACTGCTACCCTCCCCAGAGGTCCTGCCTTCCTACTCAGTGTAAAGAGCACTCTTGGAAAGGGCATGCAACCCTCTTCCCTACTTCCAATTTAAGGTCCACATTAGGTCACAAAGGTAATGTCAGGAACATACATTCTCTCAATGGACTTTCAGGTTCTAACCCTTTTGAAGCTGGGAAGAGACCAAATGTGGAGTTAGTTCCCCAAAGGGAGAGGAAGGGGAGAGGCAAGGGAGAAGACTAACCTTAAATTTGTCCCCCAGGAGTTTGTGGACAATTTCCTCCTCCTCATTGGCTGTTTTGCTACAGAATTGGGAAAAGAGCCTGACCCAGTGGTCCTTATCCTTGGCCTGTGGGGCAAACACACATTAAGAGTCACCGAGTCCACCTCCTCACTGGTATTCCCACGTACGTAGGACAGATGGCTTGTGTTTCTAAAGTCCCTGCTGTCAGGGAATGACCACCACCTAAGAGTTTCTGCCTGAGTCTCCCTCCTAACTCTGCCCATACTCAGCTATCTCCCCAGCTGGAGTAGGTCTCGCCAACTAAAACACTCAGAAAACACAAGGAAGCTAAGGAAGGTGAACATGGATAGAAGGGGCTCAAAGTGTTTTCTCTCGATGTATATAAGGGACACTATCCTGCCAAAGTGGCGCCCATCAATCAAATTCAAGAACAGATCAATCACTATCGGCAAAACCAGCCAATGCCTGATTTCTGTTTAGCATGCTCCTGAGAGTTTACACAGCAAACAACTGTCCCACGGGAAGTCGAACCTAGAGCTGACTGGGGCAGATCAGCTTCCCTGGCTCACCTGTTTCACCGTGGCCACCATCCGGGCCATTAGCATGATGCTTGCAGTCTCTGGAGGGTAGTGAACATTTCTGGGGAAAGAATAAAAAATTAAATTGGCCTAGAAATCCCCTCCCCATGCCAGGTATGGTAGCATATGCCTTTAATGCCACCACTTGGGAAGCAGAGGCAGAGGGATCTCTATTCTACACATTCAATTCCAGACTAGCCAGAGTTATACAATGAGACCCTGTCTTTAAAAAAAAAAGAAAGAGGGAAAGGAGGAGAGAGGGAGAAAGGGAGAGGGGGGAGGGGGAGAGAGACAGGGAGAGAGAGAGCGAGAGCGAGAGCGAGAGCGAGAGCGAGAGCGAGAGAGAGAGAGAGAGAGAGAGAGAGATTGACTGATTCCCTCCCCAGGAGCAAAAGCCTGGGAAACCCAGTTTGATAGCTACAGAGATACTCCCTACCTAGTTCATCAGTTACCAAAGAAGAAAGTTAAGGGCTGAACTTAAAAAACTTTGTCATCCTGCAGGGCTTGGCAGGCTCCTTCTGGGAGTGCCTAAAGTGCTGAGGATGGTGGGGCTGGCAGCACAGCTGGCAGGGGGGCTGCAAGCTGTGACTTCTGTGTAAGATGACAATGAAGAACAAGTCCAGGGGATGTAACTTACAAAAGCTGGCAACAGCTGCTAACCCTAGGCAGGAGTGAAGGGAGGGAAAAGGAAGCCTACCTCCAGGCCTCCTGCAGCTTATTGAGAGGGTGTTGAGGGTCATTCTGGGAGGGACCTGGGCAGAGGATCTGATGGTATTGTTCCGCAGCTGCCAACCGACATTCTGCACTACAGTACATCACCTATTAAGTAGAGTGGAAGTTAGCCCTCTAGAAACTGGGGTACTCACCTCCTTGAACTACATTCCCCCTCCAACAGCCCCTAAGAGCTCAGAGAGGAGAAAACCAAGGTGGCACCTATCCTAAGCTTGTTATATCACACAAAAGGAAGAGAGCTTTTCCACCTCTACCAATCCCCACAGAAGGTAAATTCCTATCACAGCCATTTTCTGGATGATGCACCTGGGGCAATAAAGATGAAGCTGAACAATTACTGAGACCTTTCAATGTCATAAACTACACTGTGGGCCCAGAGGGACAGACCAGGTCTATGCAGCTGTCTTAACAGTGAGGATTCAACTAAAGCCTCCCTGGAGTGCCCCCTTTCCCAGAGACACTCACCTGGCAGTTGGGACAGTTCTGGTGGAGGTCTTTGCGCACACTGCACAGCTCTGGGTGAGGCAGTACCTGGCCTGGTTTCCCAGTCAGCCTCTGGGCATTTTCCTCTGCCTTCTCCAGCGCCCGAAGGCAGTGGTCACATGCTGCAGGAAAAGCCAAACACAGTAAGTGTCCTTTTCATAGCAGTATCCCTGGGACTAGAATGATGCCTGGCACAGTGGTGCCCCATGAGAGCTTGCGGAGTGAATACAATTACATGAATGAATGGAGCACATGAATGAATGATGTCACAGGCACCCAAAGATGGATGTCCCCTCTTTCTTCTCAAGAACTTCTCAATCCCCTCCTTATTCCATCTGCTTCTCCATCAGACTCAGTCTGTGGGGAATCCCTGCCCTAGATGGACCTTTTCACAGTTTGTCTCTAGCTTAAAAATATGTGGCTGGCAAAGGTAGAAGCATCTCACTTGCTCTGGCCCTTACCTCCGTCTTCAGGAACAAAGGCCATGCAGCACCTTTCGGCAGGAGCCTACACTTTGGTACAACACCCTTCAGCATGACATCTAAACACACAATGGGAAGAGACTCTAAATTCTGTCTGAGAGACAGTCTTCTCCCAAGGAACCTCCCATTGCAGGTGCCTAACACAAGGAGAGGCAGAGGTGTGGTTATCAAGTCTCATTCTCCTAGAAAGATAGTATTTTCTCTCAATACCTAGAACTCCAGAGAGAATGTGAGCCAGGAGGGATGTGTGAGGCTCTCTTACATGCATAAAACAGCTGATGGGTCCAGCAGCCATCTGGAGCAGAAAAGATGTACTTACCCCTGTAGTGATAAAGTGCATTCCAGAGAAACTGAGCAGCCACCAGGGGCTGTTCAACAAAAATGGTCTCTCCCTTCCGGATCAGCTGTGTGGCAAACAGTCCCTTTCCCTAGGAGGACAGAGAAGGGACAGGGTGAGACACAGTTCCAAAGCTGGGCATAATGGTACACAGGTAATTATACCTATAATCCTAGCACAAGGGAGGTTGAAACCAGAAGATCAAGAGCTCAAGGCCAGGGGCTGGAGAGATGGTTAAGAGCACTGGTTCTCTTGCAGAGGACTCAGCCAGGTTCCATTCCTAGCACCCATACAGCTGCTAACAACTGCCTGTAATTCCAGTTTCTGGGGATCCATTGCTCTTTACTGGCCTCCAAGGGCAGTGCACACATGGGTACACTTACATACATGCAGATAAAACACTCATACACATTTAAAAAAAAAAAAAAGAGTTCAAGGCCAGCCGGGCACATGCTTTTAATACCAGTACTGGAGAGGCAGAGATAGGTGAATCTCTGTGAGCTCAAGACCAGCCTGGTCTTCATAGTGAGTTCCAGGTCAGCTGAGGCTACAGTAAGACCCTGTCTCTAAAAAACAAAAACAAACAAAAAACACACAAAAAAAACCAAACCTAAGCCAAAAGAGTTCAAGGTCAGCCTGGGCTACCTAAGACCTTGTTTTTTTTTTTTAAAAAAAAATAAACCAAGGGAACTGGAGAGATGGCTCCAGGGTTAGGAGTATCAACTACTCTTGCAGAGGACCCAGGTTCAAATCCCAGTACTCACATGGCAACAATATCCGTAACTCCAGTTCCAGGAGATCTGGCACCCTCTTCTGACCTCCACGGGCATTACACAACACAGGTGCACTTATAGTCAGCATGCATGCAGTACACTCATATTCATATAATAAAATACTAAAATAAAAATGGGCTGGAAAGATGGCTCAATAGTTAAGAGTGCTTGTTTTGCAATCATGAAGACCAGCACCCATGTAATAAGCCAGGTGTCCCCACAAATGCTCATAACCCCAGGCTCCAAAAAAGGGCAGAGACAGAAGGATTGCTGTGGCTTGCTGGCTTCCAGCCAAGCCAAGTGCCCCAGGTTCAGGGAGAGACTCTGCTTCAGGATAATAGGTAGAATGTGATGGAAGAGGATGTCCAACATGCTCTTCTGGCCTCATGCACACATAGGCATGCATGCCTGCACACATAGGTGTAGATATACTCATACACAAATAAAAAATAGAGCTGGAGCGATTATTCCTTGGTTAAGAGGTGAAGTTTCAGAATAGCTAGGGCAGGGCCAAGGCTCCAGGTAGGCTGGGGCCTCCTGTACCAGCAGCTGCTATCATTATAACACGATCCTTGGCCCCCATGAACTTTGGTGCTGCTGGGCTGCTGCTCAGGATTACAGAGAATTCCTTTGCTGCACCAGAGCAACCTAGATTGGGGAAGAACACCTCTTCCTTGGCCAGTGCCTGGCACTGAGTTAATCCTAGCACCAGCCCCAATGACAACTTGCTATGAACTTTGCTTTTTTAAAATTTATGTATGTGTGCCTGTGTGAGTTTATTTGTACCACGGGCATGAAGGTGGCTGTGGAGGCCAGAGGACACTGAAACACCTGGAATTTTAATTATAGGTGGTTGTGAACTGTCATGTGGGTGCTGGGAGCTGAACTCAGTCCTCTGTAAGAGTAGCCAGTCTGCACATTATCAATTATTCAACCCAACTTTTACCCAGAGGAATGCAAATGAGGACAAAATAATATCATTTTGCATATCAACTGGCAAAGACAATGAGAAAAAAGCAGTGCTTGAAGGAACAAAAGGATGTCTGTACAGAAGCTTGTTGGGGACAACTGCTCTGTTTGAACTCTGCAGAAAGCATGCTTGACTACATATGCAAAGTCACCATTAGCCAAGATTGTCTATGATGGCATGTATTTGTCTACAGGCATGTATGTTGATGCAGGGTTCTGAAGTGCAGTGATCCTTATATTTATGTTTAGATAACAAACTAAGCCTTATTTACACTGCTGTGTGACTATCTGCTCTGTACCTTACAAGTGGGCCATGTGTTGTTTCCAGAGCTCTTGCAAAGGAATGTACTTTGATCTGAATAACACTTATTCCTCAACACCTGCTTAGAGCACGCTATCCTGCAAATAAAATCTTGGAAGTTAGAGACTCAGTGCTCTCTGTGCTATGAACAAGGAGCTTCCTGGTCTCCAGCTTTCTTAAAAGATTAAATTGTCTATGTGTGACATTTTATTATTAGATATTTACCTATTTACCATCCCTCTGTGTCCACCACTACCCTGTCATGCAAAAGTGTAGCAGAAATTAACATCAAGGACTGTTGATCTCAGAGGTAATAAATAAGATAGAACATAAAAGGTTCATAAATAAGGGTTTGTTGAGTGGAATAAGAATCTTTCAAACCCTGTAAAGCTTGATTTATGACAAAGAATTCTAGTTTTTTTTTTTTGGTCTTTTTGAAGACAGGGTCTTCCTGTAGCTCCAGCTGGAACTCACTATGTAGACCAGGCTGGCCTTAAACTCACAGAGATCCACCTGCCTCCGCCTCCAGAGTGCTGGGATTAAAGGCATGTATTTTAACCCCACCAATCAGTAAGACTTTTAAGGAAAGGTCCTGGTGTAACCCAGTGGCCTAGAGCAGCGGAGCTCTTCTCCACCCCCCTTCCTTTGTGCAGATTCTTTAAAACTAGCCATCCAGGAAAGACTGTGAGGTTGGACCTCAGCAAATGGGGAAAAGACCCAGTACTCTTAACAAATTCTGTTTTTAGGGCTGGAGAGATGACTCAGCGGTTAAGAGTACTGACTGCTCTCGCAGAGGACCCGGTTTGATTCCCAGCACCCACATGGTATCTATGAACCATTCTTAACTCCAGTTCCAGGGGAATCTGAAGCCCTCTTCTGATCTCCACGGCACTGCATGACCAGGGTGCACTCACATACATGCAGACAATACACTCATACACATAAAATATAAAAAATAAATTCTTTTTTATTTATATTTACGTGTATGAGTGTATTGTCTGCATGTATGTGAGTGCACCTGTATCATACAATGTCCAAGGAGGTTAGAAGAGGGGGTTAGAGACCCCTGGAACTGGAGTTATGGATGGCTGTTAGCCACCATGTGGGTACTGGGAATTGGACCCAGGCCCTCTACAAGAGCAGACATTGCTCTTAACCATTACTAAGTGCTCTCTCCAGACCAAGACCCAGTACTCTTGCTTTAGGGATAAAAACCTATCAAGTTTCTGGGTCCTGTGTGGTCTCAATGACCACACAGTACACCCTTTAGCAAAAGTAAAATACTCCTTGCCAGTCACTTCTGCTTTGTCTGCATGTTCTTTGTGAAGTATTGGTAGAGTTATTGGACCTCAAATTTTATGTGTAACAAATGTGCCCTACCTTGAAATAGACTATTACTCAACACTTTAAAAACAAATATATAAAAATGGGCTTATTGTACGGACAGACACACTGCTGCAAAAAAAAAAAAAAAGAAAAAGAAAAAAAGAATTTGAGAAACGTTTCAGCCAGGCATGTGCAAACATAGAGGCCCATAATTCCTGCCCTTGGGAGGCAGAGGCAGGAAGATGAGGTGTTCAAGGGCAGCTTCAGCTAAATAGTGAATTTGAGGCCAGCTTGGACTACATGACACTCAAAGAACAAACAAGCAAACACCCCATCAAAGAAGCGGTTTCTAAAATTGCAACCTCAATGCACATACATTTGCAGAAATGAGTGCTTTTTAACTTTACTTTTATTATGTGTACTTTTTATTCTACATGGAACTAATAAAACACGGTAATAAAAGCCATGGAAATCAAGTTTGCTTCAGATCCTCCAGGCGTTCCTTGGCTTTGGGTTCTGGTCCAAGGTCCCTAGGTCTCCAAACCACATGCTAGCATCCATACCGCACTCAGAAGAGTCGCCGGGAGTCAGTGCTGCTTTAACACCTCAGGACCTGGGCCCAGCACTCCCTTACCCACTGCCCCCTGGCCAGCACCAAAGCCCCCAGCCTGGCCCATAGTGCCCAGAGCGCCCCAACCTGGCGTAGGAGACCCAGAGCCTTCCAGGCTGGCCCAGAAATCCTGAACCTTCCAGGTTGGCCCAAGAGACCGAGAAGCCCCAGCTGTTTCCACACCCTACACACAGCTCCACCCAGAGCAGCCGCAGAAGGGCTGCAAGTCCGCGGGGCCGGATTCGGCTGGGAGGGGCGCGCACGCAGGATCCGATGCGGGATCCCCCGCCTGACCATGCCTCGAGCCTTGGGCGCGGACCCAGACAGGCTCTGAGCCCCCGGCCGGGAGCAGGGACCGGGCGGGCCCCGAGCGGCTCCGGGCTCTGTGGGCTCGGCTCCCCGGAGCCGCGCGGGGAGCAATCCGGCGGGGTCGGGCCGGTCCTCACCTTGGCGCTGCTCACGAACCGGACTTCCACGGCTGCGGGGGCCCGGTCCGCCACGCCCACGCAGAAGGAGAACACGTCGCACATGGAGGTCGCCATCTTGGGCACGCCTCCGCCTTCTGACCCTTGACCCCGCCTCGACCCCGGAGGCCCCTCCTCCCTGGCCTCTGGAGGGCGTTGAGCCTGGTAGGGCGCAGTCCAGACCTTGGGTTTCTTGCTTGTTTGGGTGGAGCTGGGGCCTGCCTGTCTGCTTTCATGGCTGTGTGGTTTGTGTGTGTGGCTCCGTGGCCAGTGTCCGAGTACATGCATGAGGCTCTAGCGGTGTAGCCAGTGTGTACACTGCCCTGGTTTTCGTCCCTAGCACCATTTACGCGGCTCTTGCTTCTGTTCACATTGGCTTTTAAGACAGGGTCTCGCTAGGTAGCACAGGCTGGTCGCGAACTTGGAGCAATCCTCCTGCGTCAGAAATCCTTCACACACACCCCGCCCTCCCCAGCCCTGGCCAGCTCTGAGCAAAGTCCTTTTTGGACCCAGAGGATGTGTGGGACAGCGGGAAGCTAACTTGTTATCTTTACCTTCCATCCTGAAAGAATGAACTAGCTTAGGAGCTAGGGCTCAGTCACACCGCTTTCAATGGGATTGAGGATGTTGTTCAGTGAGTAGAGTACTTTCCTAGTATGCCTGAGGCCCTGGGTTTGAGCCCCAGCACTGCTTAAACCCAGCATGATGGCCCACGCCTACAACCCCAGCACAGGCAAGATCATCCTTAGCTACAAAGGAAGTTAAGGGCAAGCCTGGGTTAAAGATCCAGTCCCAGGGGCTGGAGAGATGGCTCAGCAGTTAAGAACACTGCTCGTTCTTGCTGAAGACCGGGGTTCGAATCCCAGCACCCACATGGCAGCTACCAACTGTACATAACTCCAGTTCCAGGGGAATCCGAAGCCCTCTTCTGATGTCCACGGGCATTGACTCACATCATGCAGGCAATACGCTCATACACTTAAAAAAAAAAAAAAAGATCCAGTCCCAGAAAGAAAAATTATTTCCTTTCTCTGTAAACTCTCTGCTCCCAGAGCAGATAGTGTTCTGAAAACTCAGGCTGCACAGGTACTTTTCTGACTCCTCCCAGACTTAGGGACTTTGTAGTCTGAGGTTGTGGTGCAGTAGTCAGAGGATCTCAGGTGTGAAGATCCCTTAATTAGATGCAGAAGTTAATGTACACATGCATCATTCCAAGAACAAAAGACAGAAGATATCTTCTCCTTCAGGACTTGGAAAAGCACCTTTTCTCATAGCTAGACCTAACCACCATACCTTATTTTGTTGCTTTGTCCCTTAGTTGACTTTCTATTCCTTAAAAAGGAAACTGTGTCTGCTTTACTGTGGTTTCATGGTGACATATGGGGATTAGAAACAACCTATTAATTGTGGGGGGTTTTGGTTGGTTTTCTGGTTGTTTGTTTTTGAGATTGGGTCTCACTATGTTGCTGTGGCTGGCCTGGAACTTGCTATGTAGACCAGGTTGATTTTTGAACTCACAAGCTCCACCTGCCTCTGCCTCTTGAGTGTTGGGATTAAAGCTTCGTACCACCACCACTCTGGGTTCAACCTAGTAGTTGTTTAATAGGTAATTGATGTTTTGAATTTCTTTTTTTTCTTGAACAGGGTCTCCCTAGTCCCAGCCTACCTGGAAGTCTGTGTGGACCAGGCTGGCCTCGATCTCACAGAGCTCCACCTGCCTCTGCCTCCCAAGGGCTGGGATTAAAGGTGACCACCACCACTCCTAGTGTGATATGTTTGTTTTTTTATTTATTTATTTAAATTTTGGTCTTTTTGAGACAAGGTCTCCCTGTAGCCCCAGCTGGCCTGGAACTCACTATATAGACCAGGCTGAACTCACAGAGATCTGCCTGCCTCTGCCTCCTGAGTGCTGGAATTAAAGGCATGAGCCACCATGCCCGGCAATATGTTGAGTTTTAAGTGAGCCAATCGGGGTTGTGTTTACCATACAAGCATGAATTTGATCTCCAGAACCCATGTAAAAAGCTGGCATGGTGGTACACTTTTGTAATCCCAGCGCTGGAGAGGCAGAGACAGGAGGATCCCTGGGGCTTCCCAGCAAGCCTAGCCAAATTGACCAGTTCTAGGATCAGTGAGAGACCCTGTCTCAAAAACCAGGGTGGACTTCGACTGAGTTAAGACACCCAGTGTTGACCTCTGACCACCAATACACATGCATGCACATGTATGAATGTGCTTACACAAATACAAAGTAAGTCAGTTGTCCTGAAGGAAGCAGGTACACCTGGATTCTTTTGATGAATAAGACCTTGAGTCCAGCATTGAAAAGGATTTTTTACAGGGGCAGAGAAAGGACTTGTTTTATGTTTGCCTTTTGTTATTTGTTTATATGTGTATATATATATATTTATATGTGTATATATATATATATATATACATATGTTATTTTTTTGCTTTTTTTACAGTTATGTATGGGGGAGTGTTTGTGATAGGGAATGCACATTCCACAGTGCGTGTGTGGCAGTCAGAGGACAACTTGAGGGAGTCAGTTTCCTTCTTCTACCACATAAATTCTGGGGATTGAACTCACATCCTCAGGCTTGGCAGCAAGCCCCTTTACCTGCTAAGCCATTTCCTAGTCCTTGTTTTTGTTTTTCAGACAGGATCTCATTTTGGCTTCAAACTCACTATAGTAGCTTGAACTGACCTCAGATTCTCCATCCTTCTGCTTTAGTCTCCCTAGTCTTTAAAATAATTTTTTGATTGATTTTTATTTTTATGAGTATGAACTGTTTTGTCTCCATGTGTAAGTGCGCCTGTGTCATGCCCATGGAAGCCAAAAGAGGGCATCAGATTCCCTGGAACTGGAATTTCAGATAGTTAGCCACCACGTGGTTGCTGATAACCAAAACTGGGTCCTCTGCAAGAGCAGCTATGCTCTTAACCACTGATCCATCTCTCCAGCCCCCTCCCTAGTCTTAAGACTACAGTTATGTATCACCATGCCCAGCTCTAGAGAAAGGTTCTTGAGCTCAGGCTCTGTCTCTCCACAAGCCTGCCACCTGATGTCTAAAAGTCCAGTCTCTTGGATGCAGTTAGTTTCCAAAGCCAGCTCAATCCCAGCCTTTCCTTCCCCACCCTGTCAGAAAACTGGGTCCTGAGAGCAACCTTGTGGAGAGAACAGGGTGGCCTTTTGTCCCATCACCTCAGCCCAGGAACTGTGGAGAAGTGGTCTGTGCTATAGATACCAGCTCTTACATGCTAGAGGCTGACTTCATAAGAATAGGCTGTCAGCAGACTTCCTGGCAAAAAATCAGACAGGGTCGTTCAGGGAGGGACTAGCAAAATACAGAAGAGGTTATGACAAAATGAAGTCAGGTTTCTCTATAAAAAGGCAGAAAAGGTCAGGTAGCTGGAGAGAAAGAGATAGAGGCAGTTAGACCTGAGCTCCTTCTGAGAGTGTTAACAATTCAGATAAAATAAAACTTTGGGCTGAGCATGTAGGCTTACACCTATAGTCTCAGCACTTGAGAGGCTGAGGAAGGAGAACTGCCATGAGTTTGTGTCAAGTGTGGGCTGTGAAGTGAGACTCTGTGTCAAAAAAAAAAAAAAGCTGGGCATGGTGTCCTACACCTGTAATCCCAGCATTCATTCCAGAGGTGGAGGTCGGAGGATCACGAGTTCAAGGTCATCCTAAGCTACATAGTTTCATGCCAGCCTAGGCTACATGAGAACTGGGGCAAGGAGGAAGGAAGGGAAAGGAAAGAAGAGAAGGAAAAGAAAGAAAGAGAAATTAAGAAGAAAAATAAAATGTAGAAAATAAACAATCTAAGTCTGGCGAGGTGGCACACGCCTTTAATCCCAGCACTCAGGAGGCAGGCAGATCTCTGTGAGATTGAAGCCAGCCTGGTCTATGTAGTGAGTTCCATGTCAGCTGAGGCTGCAGGTTGACCCTGTCTCAAAAGTACAAAAATAAATAAATAAAAATATAAAACCAAAGACTCAAAAACAAAACAAAACAATCTGTTTCCCTCCAGGAAGTCTTTAGGAAGTCTTCTATACCAGATGATGATTTAAGAAGGCCTCCTTTCTACAACCCAGGAAATAGATGAATCCCCAAGCCAGGGCTGGGGCATGTGCCCCTTCCCTAAGTAAGAGAACCCATAAGTGTCACAAGTTGTACACCCTGGGCCTGCATCCTGCTTTAAAAGACTGAGAAAGCCTGGCCAGGGATATTGGTAAAAGCCACTCTGTGCTGCTTACCATTCCATTATTCCTATCCCCAGGGGTCCATATAGAAAAGAGGACCCTTGCTTGACAGTCCTCTGTATATTTGGTGTTCTTTGACTCTGATGAAGGTCTTCATTGAAATGTGGTGGAGGGAAATCCAGTGGGTGCTCCCAGGAAGAACTAGCCAGGCTATCCAGGCTAGGTCCCCTAGCTTGGTCCTTAGCTGCCAACATCTTCATCCTGGATGCTGCCATTGGAACTGCTTGAGGGCTCCTCCAGAGGGGCAGACATGGCAGAGGAGGCAGGCAGTTTCAGCTTTTGCTGTTTCTGATATTTGACCCTGCGGTTTTGGAACCAGATCCTCACCTATAATTGGGGGCAGTGGGCAGGCATTAGACTCCCTCTACCCCTCACCCAGTCCCAGAATGCCCACTCCTTGCTATCTGGACAAAATTTGTTCTTCCCACTAAAGGAAGCACCTCTTCCAAAATGTTCTTCCCTATTTTCCCATTCACCATCCATCCATCCATCCATCCATCCATCCCAATGAGTACCATATTTTTCTTTTCTTTTTTTAGGGGGTGGGGGTCAGGGTCTCATACAGCCCAGGATGACCTCAGAGTCACTACATGATGATCTTGTACTCCTGATCTTCTGCCTCCACCTCCCAAGTACTGGGATTATAGGCATGCACTATCATGCCCACTTTATATAGTATCAGAAATTGAACCCAGGGCTTTGTACATTCAAGTCAACACTCTACCAACTAAGCCACATCTTCATCCCCCCAAAAGTGCTTAGTGAATGACTATGACATGCCGGTGAAGTTCTAGGTAATGGGGACATAGTGGTGAGCAATAGAGTCCCAGTCCTTGTCCTCTGGAGCTCATGGTCTGGTGGAAGGAGATTCAGTGTAAATAAATGAGAAAGGTGAGAAATTGATAAATATAAAGGGGGACACAAACAGGGATTTGTGCTGGGGGATCTCTCCAAGGATGAGGAGCAGCCTAGTTTGGACAGGGATGAACAGACCAGTAGAACAGGGGTGAACAGCCTGTATTCAAGGTGAGGACCAGAAAGGAGGGCTTGACCAAAAAGGAGAAAGGAAAGGGATATGAGCGAGTTCAGCAGGACCCAGGACACTCAGGACCTTGAAGGCCACAGCAAGGAGAGTCACCTTGGAGGCTCATAAATGAGACATGACATAGTTCTATTTACATCTGAAATGAACTGCGCAACTGGCTGTTATGTGGAGGATGGGTGAAGGTAGAGGCAGTGGGGAGGCTGTTCCAGTGACCCAGTGAGAGCTGGGGATATAAACCAGGGACAATGGAAAAAATGAAGCCATTCTATCTGCATTTTTGAGGTAGAGGGGACAAGGTTTGCTGAGGGTTAAAAGTGGAGGGAGGAAGAAAAGGATTCTAGGATGACTTTGTTTTTAAGCAACTGGGAGGATGGTGGGACCATAAATGGGGAAAGGAACAGATTTAGGGAAGAAAAACAATGAAGAATTGTGGTTTTGTGACATTTGCAATGCCTTCTAATGAGACATCTAAGTGGAGATGTCAAGAAGGTAGTTAGGGGCTGGGATGTGGCTCAGTGGTAGAGTACTTGCCAAAGATGTGGTTCAACCCTGTGCTGGATAGCTTTAGCGTAAACTTGACACACCTGGGTTGAGGGAGCCTCAATTGGGGAATTGCCTTCATTGGACTGGCCTGTGGCCATGTCTGAGGGGCATCTTCTTGATGAGTGATGTGGGAGGGCCCAGCCCACTGTGGGTGGTGCCACCCCTGGGCAGGTGGGCCTGTGTTGCATAAGAAAGCAGGCTAAGCAGGGGTCAAGTGGGAAAGCCAGTAAGCAGAGTTCCTCTATGGCCTGTGCTCCAGCTCCTGCCTCCAGGTTCCTGATCTGAGTTCCTACCTTGGGCTCTTTGATGAACTGTGACCCAGGAGATGTAAGATAAAAAAACCCTTTCCTCCCCAAGTTGGTAGTGGTCAGAGTGTTTTGTCACAGCAATGAAAAAACAAACTAAGTCTGAAATTGGTACCAGAGAGTGGGATATTGCTGTGACAGACCTGACTTTGGTGTTTTGGGGAGGATTGTGGAAGTGTTCCAAACTTTAGGCTGGAAAAGCCACTGCGTGCTTATAGTTTGTTGCTGTGGAGTTTGGAACAGTTATGTTGAAAGAGTGTTGGACAATGGAGGCCTGGCTTGTGAAGCTTCACAGGGAAGTGGAAACTATCAGGGCTGTTCATGTGAGATTTTGAATTGAGAATCTGTGGGTTCTGGTCAACTAGGGCTGAAGAATCAGCTATGATTAAGAGACCAGAACCTGAAAACCTTTGTTCTACTGGGACAATTGATGCTGGTTAGCTGGGGCTGAAAAATCAGCTATAAGTAACAAGGTACCAGCATCATTTTGGTAAAGTTTTCTGGGAGGTATTTCCTCAGGGTCAGCACACAGGAGCCTCTATCTCAAGCTGGAAGCAGGACTTGGTAATGTGTAAGAGTCTCCTGCATGGTTCTGGTGTTGAAAGTGTGAAGAGGTCACAGACAGCAGCTGAGGCTTGGCACTCTGAGAGGCCAGGAAAGGCCATAGGTGAAAGTGCAGCTTCAGTTGCAGTGAAAACCCCAGGACTGAAGGGGTCATGGAGAGAATCTGAGAATCTTTGCACCCCAAGAGGCAAGAAGAGGCCATTGGTGAAGGTGTAGCCTCAGTTTCAGTGGAGACCCCAGCTTTTTGGAGATGCCGGGACCATGGGACGACCACCAAGTAGATGTGGAATGGAGCTGGCCTGGGTCTACAAGACGAGCTGTGTGTGCTGTGGACGGCAGAGTCAGAAGTGAACTTTCATTTTGCTTAGGTGTGCCTGATTCTTCCTTTTGAAATAAGACAGTACTTGTTTTGGATTTTATAGAAGCCCACCCACAGTTAAGAGACTATTAAGAGACTATGGACTTTTAAGTGTTTGGATTTTTTAAGAACTGTGGGGTTTTTAAGGTTGTACTGTCTTATGTTGTGATATTAATGTTAATATTGTGTCTTGGGGACAAGAATTGGAAAGCTTATGGTTTAATAGTGATGTGTTTGTGTGTCAAGTTGACAAGGGGTTAATTGTGCTGCATAGCTTTAGTGTGAACTTGACACACCTGGGTTGAGAGAGCCTCAGTTAGGGAATTGCCTTCATTGGACTGGCCTGTGGTCATGTCTGAGGGGCATCTTCTTGATTGTTGAGTGATGTGGGAGGGCCCAGCCCACTGTGGGTGGTGCCACCCCTGGGGGCAGGTGGGCCTGTGTTGCATAAGAAAGCAGGCTGAGCAGGGGTCAGGGGAGCAAGCCAGTAAGCAGAGTTCCTCCATGGCCTGTGCTCCAGCTTCTGCTTCTAGATTCCTGCCCTGAGTTCCTACTTTGGGCTCTCTGATGAACTGTGACCTGGGAGATGTAAGATAAACCCTTTCCTCCCCAAGTTGGTAGTGGTCAGAGTGTTTTGTCACAGCAATGAAGAAACAAAGACAAACCCCAAGCAGAGAAGGTTAGACTGGGGGTGTAAATTTGAGCCATTGTCTTTGAGATGGTATTTTATTTTTTAGTATTTTATTCATTTTTATATATATGAGTGTTTTGCCTGTATGTATGTGTGTACCATATGCATGCAATGCCAACAGAGGCCAGAAGAGGGCATCAGATCCCCTGGAGCTGCCACATGGGTGCTGGGAACCAAACCTGGGTCTTCTGCAAGAACAGCAAGTGCTCTTAACCAATGAGCCATATCTCCAGCCCCAGAGATGGTATTTTAAATGAGGATAATAGATGAGACCAGATCGTAAGAGGACCTGAAAAGAAGAGTAGCTTGCAAAGGAAACAGTAATAGCCAGAGACCTTGGAAGGAAACCAAGAGGAGAACATGTTGTAGCATGGAAGGAAGGCACGGTCAATCATACTGAGAGCTACTAAGCTCTCAGGTCAGATGAGCTGTTGACTTTGACAACATGGAGGACATTATCATAGACCTTGCCACGATGTTTTCATGAAAATGAGGGAAAACAGTCACATTGGGATGACTACAAGAGTAAATGGAGGGGCTCAATTGGTAGAGTGCTTGCCTAGCATACATGAAGTGCTGGGTTCAACCCACAGCACCTAATAAAACAGTTTTAATAGTAAACACCTGTTATTCCAGCACTTGGGAGGTGAGGACAGGAGGATCAGAAGTTCAAGACTATCTTTGACTGTGTAGCAAGTTCAGGGCCAGCCTGGGGTACATAAGACACACAAACATTGTCAGACATGGTACTGCATGCCTTTAATCCCAGAACTCAGGAGGCAGAGGCAGGTGGATCTCTGAGTTCGAGGTCTACACAGCAAGTTTAAGGCCAGATGGGGCTACAGGAAGATTCTGTCTCAAACAAAAACAAAAAACCAGAAACATAAAGAGGGAATGGGAGGGAGGTGAGGACAGGATTAGAGTGAACACAGCAAGTGCTTGAGAAGTTTGCCTGCTGATGGAATACAGAAATGACACAACAGTGGGAGAATGTGGGGGTCAAGGAACAGTTACTAGTTGAATATTTAGTCTCTTGAATGCCTATTTAATTTTGCTGATAGCCCCTTATTTAGCATGGAAATACTCTTAGAAAGTACTAGAGGGAGCTGGGAGATGGCTCAATGGTTAAAGCACTTGCCAAGCAAACATGAAGCCCAAAGTCCAGATCCCTAGAAACTCATATTTAATGCTAGGTGGGCCTGGTGATCCGCCTGTAATTCCAGCTTCAGAAAGCAGAGATGGGATCTCCAGAGCAAGTTGCCTAGCAAGACTAGGCCCATCGGCAACCTCTGGTTTGATTGAGGAAACCCTGCCTCACTGAAAAAGGGGGAAGAGCTATTGAGGATGATTCCAACATCAATATCAGGGTTCCACGTGCCTGCACACACACATGTATGTGCACCCTCAAGTATACCTTCACACATGCAAAAAAATGCATATATACAAAAGTAAACCACATAAAAATGGGAGAAAAGAACTAGAGCAGCATCTGCTGTTCCCATGACGTGACTCCAAATGGAAATATTACAGAGAATAGGCAAAAAAATTAGGGTCTGTCTCTCCAGCATCCTAGCCCAGGGGAAGAAAGCCATGTCTTCCTCCCATCCCCTACTGCAGACCTTCCAGAGACCCAAGCCACAGGTGTTTGCTCCCACCTGGTTCTCCGTCAGGTGCAGCCTGGCAGCCAGCTGGGCTCTCTTCTTGCCCACCAGGTTGTGCTGCTTTGCAAATACTTTCTCCAACTCTTCCAGCTGCTGCAAGGTAAACATAGTTCGAACCCTCTTTTGGTGTCGCTCAGTGTCCTGAAGGTCCATGGCAGGGGCCCAGTCTCGAGGGCTCCAGAAACCTGAGCAATGAAGCACCTCCAAGCCTAAAGAACAACCAGTAGGAGAGGAAGTTAGCCAGAAGTCACCTACTCAGTCATCTTGGGGGAGATTGAGCTCCACAGTCCTCCCTTCCCTTTGGCCAAGTAATATGGGACACAGAGTAGGAAAACACTGTGTAGAAATAGTCTAAAGGGCTAGGAAGATGACTCAGTCAGTAAAGTATTTGCTGCACAAGACCGAGTACCTGAATTCTGATCTCTAGCACCAATGTAAAATAAAGCATGGCAGAGATGCTTGTCTATAATCCCAGCCCCAAGGAGGAGGAGATAGGGGGATCCCTGGGGCTCTCTGGCCAGCCAGTCTAGCCAACTGGTAAATTTCAGGTTCAGTGAGAGTTCCTGTCTCAAAAATGTGGAAAAGGGCTGCAGAGATGGTTCAGCAGTTAAGAGTGCTTGCTGCTCTTCCAGGGGACCCGCGTTCATCGTTCATTTCCCAGCACTCATGTTCAGTGGTTCAGAAAGGCTTGTAACTCCAGCTCCAGGGGATCTAAGACCCTCTTCTGGTTGCCACTGGTCCCCACACATATGTAGCATACACTCACACATACACATAAGTTTGAGGCCAGCCTAGTCTACATAGTGAGTTCCAGGCCAGCTGGGGCTACTGGGGAGACCCTGTCTCAAAAAGACCAAATATATATATATATTGGAAAGCTATAAAGACACCTGATGTTGACCACTGACCTTCATGTGGATATTGCACATACATGCACACAAAAGAACACACAAAGAAATAAGCCAAAACGTGAGAAAGAAGGGGCACTGCTGCGAAACTCCTGCCTCCACTACTTTCCAGTCAAGTGGATTAACATCTTCCCTCTAATAGTTCTCAAACTCCTCCTTCTCACCTTCTTTCCTTAACTGCTTCAAGAAACCTCACTGGATGGACAAAGAAGGGGCCTTTCCATCCCTTTCCATTCATTCAACAAATACTTTTTGAGTTCTCTACCACTGAGTTACATCCTTAGCCTAAAATTTTTTCTACACAGTAAAAACACATATTGATAGAGTCAAAGGACCAAAAAGAGAAGAATAAAGAAAAGTAGCTGCAGCTCCTTACAGTCAAAGGGCTTATTTTGCCAATATGGAAAGAACTTGGGATGGCAGGATGGCTCTTAAATATACAAAAAGTTCTTTGATCTTGTTTATAAATATACATATTTATATATGTATAAAGGCTGGAGAGATGGCTCAGTGGTTAAGAGCACTGGCTACTCTTCCAGAGGACCTGGGTTCTATTCCCAGCACTCACATGGTGGCTAACAACTGTCTGTAACTCCAGGTCCAGGGGATCCGATGCCCGCTTCTGGCCTCCACAGGCATCACATGACATAGGTGTGATTATATACATGCAGGCAAAACTTATATACATAAAATAAACAAATAAATATTGAATTAACAGACTCCCTCTCCCCACATAGAATTTTTTTCCTTCTATCAGTGACAGTGGAGATAGGGGACATTTTTATATACTGCTGGAACGAGCAAAAATGATTGCTCAGAGAAGAATGGCATTGGGGGATGACTGTGTGGACATGGCTCCCAAGTGATAAGCTGACTATGGATCGGTTTGGAAGTCCATGTTAATGTGCCTCAGGATGGAACCAGGCAAAACTGTTCATAGAAGGACCTCAGCTTTTGAACTAACTTTGGTACAGTTTTCCTCATGAAGTCTTCGGGAAGCATGAACCTGGCAGCCTAAAATATGAAGCTGGAAGAGTCAGTTACCTTGCAGTTAAACCCATTCATTCATTAGTACCTGGTACTCCCTTAGATACTATTCTAGGGGAGCTGTATGCACCAAGGCTGTGAAGTCAGAAAGATGGAGGTCTGAGCAGCTGTGAGCACCTAACAACTCACCAGCAACACTCACAGAATCAACCTCTGGTGCCAAAGAACAGGACCAGTCATGGGCTCGGGACAAGGGCAGCTTTGGGGAAATGTTGCTGTACCAAGTGTAAGCTGGAACTGGGTGTAGGAATGTAGAAGGGAAAGTGGGGACACAGAGCCAGTGAACAAGGCTGATCCATCTCCCACACCCACCCACACCTTTCACTCCCACTTGAGCAGCTCTCAAGGAACTCTGTGAGGATCTTGACCAGATATCTAGGTCTTAGTTTTTGTTTTGTTTTGTTGTTGTTGTTTGAGACAGAGTCTCTGTGTAGCCTGCCTGTCTTCCTGTCTCTCGCATCCAGAGGTTGGGATTACAGGAATGAACCACTCCTGGCCCAGCTACATCCTCAGCTCTAACTACAAAGTCAACTGCACAGAGTCCTTTCCCATTCCAATTCCATGTGGTTCTCAAACTCAGGGATTTCTTTTGTTTTTATTTTGCCTTTTTTTCTTTGATGGGTTTTGTTGTTGTTGTAGTTGTGTGAGAGCGAGGGGGGGAGAGAGAGAGAGAGAGAGAGAGAGAGAGAGAAACACAGCTGAACACAGAGACCACATGCACACGGAAAGAAAGGGCTGCACTACTGAGATATTGTCTTCCTGTCTCTCGCATCCAGAGGTTGGGATTACAGGAATGAACCACTCCTGGCCCAGCTACATCCTCAGCTCTAACTACAAAGTCAACTGCACAGAGTCCTTTCCCATTCCAATTCCATGTGGTTCTCAAACTCAGGGATTTCTTTTGTTTTTATTTTGCCTTTTTTTCTTTGATGGGTTTTGTTGTTGTTGTAGTTGTGTGAGAGCGAGGGGGGGAGAGAGAGAGAGAGAGAGAGAGAGAGAGAGAAACCCAGTTGAACCCAGAGACCACATGCTCATGCAAGGAAAGGGTTGTACTACTGAGCTACATTCTCAGCTATTTCTTTGACTTGATCTCATGTAGCCCAGACTGGCCTCAGACTCACAAGATAGCCAAGGGTAATCTCGAACCCCTTGATCCTCCTGCTTCCACCTCCACCTCCGGAGTGCTAGGACTACATTACCGCCTGCACCACCGCCTCTGGAGGGACATCCCTTCCTGGTGCCATCGACCACCCCCTTCATCCGAGCCATTACCTGTGTGGCCGAAACCCTGAGGGCCGCAGAGGTGAGCCACGCTGGGTCGGGGCACGCAGGGCGGAGGCCACAACGGGTAGACACGCACGCCCAGGTGGACCGGCAGCCAAGTGGTCGGACACACCCAGGGCAGAACCGGGTGGGGCACCTCAGGGGGCACGGTGCAGAAGCTCGGGTAGGGCATCTCGGGGGACAGGGTGCCAAAGCTCCAAGCGGCGTGGGTGGAGAGTTGCGGAGGAAAGGCGGCCCATGGAGGCTCCGGCCTAGCCAGGATGGCCTCGACGGAGAAGGTTTCCAGGCATCCTAGAGCCGGACGGCGTGGGAACACCGGGGACGCGGACACCGGAGAGCGCCCCGAGGACCCGGGATGGAACTCAGCGACCGGGGGAGCGGCCTGTGGGGATGCTGGGCTGGGCATGTCGTGGGAGAGAACCCAGGACCTCCTGGCTGTGCGAGGGGTGGGAGAACCGGCTGGTACAAAGGGACAGGGGCTTGTGACCTGGGACCCAGAATGCCAGCAAGGGCTTTTAAACTTGGCGGGGCGGGACAAAGCGGGATGAAAACCGAATTTACCTTCCTGCTGCTAGGTGGGGCTTCCACCCCACCTGGGGGACCCTCTGGAGGAAGGACTTTGAGCTCAATGGAGTGTCGTGCCCCCACCCCCCATTTCTTCCTCACCCACTGCCGCCTCCTTCCCTCCCCTCCCCTTTCCCTTTCTCTGTCTTTTTTTTTTTTCTTTTTCTTTTTTCCCCTGAGACAGAGTCGCACCTGCAGCCCAGGCTAGCCTCTGAATTATGGCTGTCGTCCTGCCATGGTGTGTGCCACCATGCTTTTCCTTGTGATTTTCTTATCCTGGATACAGGCTCTTTGCCCCCAGCTCATGGGAGCTGTGATCTCTGGAGGATGAGGGCAGTGCCTGCTGTGCTGGCCTTGGCTAATCCACACTCTTCAAATAATTTTGGGTGCTGGGTGTCAAACCCAGGACTTCACACTTGCTACACTGGCCCTAGCCAGATTCACTTAGGAACAGGCATTTTCATTTTAGGGGCTGGAGAGATGGCTCAGCGGTTAAGGACACTGGTTGCTTTTGCAGAGGACCAGGGTTTGATTTCCAGCACCCACATAGTGGCTAATAATGGTCCTTAACTCCAGTTCCAGGAGATCCAAAATATTTTTCTGGCTTCTGCAGACATTACATCATATGGGTGTACTTATAAATGCTGGCAAAACACTCATAAAGTAATTTTTTTTTGTTTTTGTTTTTTTGAGACAGGGTCTCCCTGCAGCCTCAGCTCTCCTGGAACTCACTATGTAGACCAGGCTGGCCTTGAACTCACAGAAATCCACCTGCCTCTGCCTCCCCAGTGCTGGGATTAAAGGTGTGCACCACCACACCCGGCACATAAAATAAATTTAAAAATTGAATGTAACCATTTTTATCCATAAACACAGCAAAAAGTAAACTTGCTAGATGCCTCAGAACATTGCTGTGATTTCTACTTTCTTTTAGATCTTCTCAGGAACTTCTTGGGCCCTCACCACAGGGCCTTACTAAAAGATTTTTCCTGCTGGGCATGTTGGCACAGGCCTATAATACTAGCACTCAGAATACTGAAGCAGGAGGATCACCAGTTCAAGGCCAGGTGTGAGCTGCATGGTGAGACTGTGTCTCAAGAAAGAAAGAAGAGAATGAAAAGAGAGGGAGGGGGACGGGAAGGAAGAAAGGAAGCAGGCTAAGCATGGTGGCCTGGTGGCGTACTCCTGTAATCCCAGCACTTTGGGGGTGGAAGCAAGAGGATCTGGAGCTCAAGGTCATCTTTAGTTACACAGAGAATTTGAGGTTAGCCTGTGCTACATGACAGACTGACTTAATCAGACAGAGGCCTGGGAAGATGACTCAATGGTTCAGATTTTCAGAATAACCTAAAACCAGATGTGATAGGAAGCATCTGTCATTCCCAGAGCTCATATAGAAAGAAGGGAGTCAAAGTTGACAGGAGACTTCTCAAGCAAGGGCCAGCTAGTCTGGCTTGCACAGCAGAAACAAATCAAGAGACCTTGTTTCAGACAAGGTGTAAAGAAGAGGACAGACACCTAAGTTTGTTCTCTGACCATCACACATACACGATGGCATTCAAAGACCCATACTCACACATGTGCATAATGGTGCACATGCACAGATTTAAAAACAGAGGAAAGAAGGGAGGAAAGGATGAAGGGACAGAAAGGAGGAAGGAGAAGGGAGAGAGGGGGGAGAGGGGGTAAGGGAGGAGGCAGAGGTTCTTTTATTTTTTTGTCTTTTTTAGACAGGGTCTCCCTGTAGCCCCAACTGTCCTGGAACTATGTAGACCAGGCTGGCCTTGAACTCACAGAGATCTGCCTGCTTCTGCCTCCCTAGTGCTGGGATTAAAGACGTATGGGCTGAGGTTCTCTGTAGGCAGTAGAGAGAAAATGGCCCAAGGTAAAACTATAAGCTGGTTCTTGTAGGACAAAGTGAGTATGGTCTAATTTAATTAGCAGCCAGCAAGACACTAACCAAGGACTGAGACCAGCAACACCTTCAGCGTCAGTTAGGGCTAGCAGCCAGCTGAGGAGCCAGGGTTAACAGCTAGCAGAGCAAGTCAGAGATAGACAGAGGGAGGCCTCAACGTGTGACCACACCCTAACTGAACAAGCAGCACTTGAACAATGCGTGATCATCTCCCTGGTTAGGCCAACGGACATGCCAAAAATGTGTGAGCCCCCTGTTGGCTCAGCCCATGATAGGCCCAGAGAAATAACCAAGGTCAATAGAAATTATTTCTGTCTTTGCCCAGTCTTTGCCTCTCTAGTGTAGCTCTGCAGTTTTTACTCTCTTGGAACCCTTCCTACTCTCAGGCGTTTATCTAGGTTTTTTCCCCTTTCTCACTTTTTTTTTCAATTTCCTTTAATAAAGTGTACTTTCTGCTTTGTTTGCTTCCACATGAGTCTATGTCTTTAATCATCATCAATGTGAGACAAGAAGCTTAAGAGCCACAGTTTCAGGTTGATTTTTGCTGACCATTGATTGTCTAGCACTTGAGTCCCCCATCTGGATTGAGAGAGTTCCTGTGGAGCTCAAAGATCTGCATCAAAAGGAACTAAGGATCTTCCCTATTATTCAATACCTTGCGTTACTTGGGTGTGGGGCAGGTCCTTGTTTGCATCCTGGCTTTACAGGAAAATAATTGGTTCTGGCTGTTGTCTTTGGGAAAGCTGTAAGTTACTGTTTGTATTTACTATCTACGAAGTAGAAGTAGAGAATAATAGTAGTTACCTTGTGAGGATTGAGTGAGGTAATACACAATATTTCAGAACTGATTTGGAGCGTGATGAGCACTAGACCGTAACGATGGAGTTCTGACAGTCCTAATTCCCAGGCTTTCTTGGCATGCCACTTTTTTTTTTTAAACTTTTATCTGCATTTATTTTATGCTTAATTTATTCCTGTGCCATAAGTTTTTGTTTTTTCAGTTTCTCTGGGATATCTTTTTCTTTTGTGCAACCACCTCCTCAGGTTTAGGAACAATTTGTTCCTTTTCAGTGAGGATCTTTTGTATGTGGCAGGGGAGCTCATGGATGGGTTAATCTGACCATGAGTTCTGTAAATCCTGCGGTGTATCTTGGATGATTTGTTTGCCTGGATATGCTCAGTGACCAGAGAGTTTACATTTAAACCCTTAAGTTCAGCATTACTCTCTGTATTTTTAATCATGTGCAGCAAAAATTCAGCACTCTTTTTGGGCAAACAACCCTATGTCCAGTCCCACTGTTTACCCTGGGCACACCTACCAACTCCACTGTTATACCACTGGAATGGCATGCAGTGCTTCTTTAAAGTGATGTCTTTCAGATACTTGGTGGCTTTTTGGATATGCATACCCTTGATAGCCTGGGCAGTTTCACATTGTGTGTGTGTGTGTGTGTGTGTGTGTGTGTGTGTGTGTGTGTGTATGTGTGTATATGATATTTTTATTTTTATTTTATGTGTATGAGTGTATTAACTGCATGTATGTAAGTATACCCATGTCAGAGGTCAGAAGAGGGCTTTGGATTCTCCTGGAACTGGAGTTAAGGACAGTTTGTAGCTGCCATGTGGGTGCTGGGAATCGAACCCGGTTCACTCTGCAAGAGCAGTCAGTGCTCTTAACTGCTGAGCTATCTCTCCAGCCCCTCACATGTATTCTTAAAATGAACATGAAGATTGGAACCTCTTGATTTGCATGATTTTATAGGGTTTTCTGGGTCAAGAGAGTAGCAAACCATTTTTTTTTAACTTTAAAAAAAATTTGAGAATTTCATACATGCATATAAGGTGTTTTGATCAAATCCATGTCTTCTCCCCTCCAACTCTTCCCATATCTCCCCATCACTTTTTCCTGAGCAACTTCATGTTTTTTTTTGTTGTTGTTGTTGTTTTTTTTTGAGACAGGGTCTCCCTGTAGCCCCAGCTGTCCTGGAACTCACTATGTAGACCAGGCTGGCTTTGAACTCACAGAGATCTGCCTGCCTCTGCCTCCCAAGTGCTGGGATTAAAGGCATGTGCCATCATGCCTGGCTTCTTCTTTTTTTTTTTTTTTTTATGGGGCTTTTTTCTACTCTAACATTCCCCCCTCTGAAGAGGTAACCATAAAATCTTTTAGCGATTAGATAAGAGCTCCCAAATATTTTTGACATTTTTGGCTTTTGGAACAGAATATGTTGCTAAGGAGCCCAAGGACATTTTGATTTTTAGCCAAGAAACTGGCTACTTAGTAAAACATTTTCATAGGTCACCTCAGACTGCTTACAGGAAGAATCATTCTGCTTTCTTGAATTAATTTCTAATGCTGAAACTATTCCATCAGGTTGTGGCTGGGTACATATCCCTCCATGGCCCTTGACTGCTTGAGGCAAAAATATACCCCTTGGCCGGGCGTGGTGGTGCATGCCTTTAGTCCCAGCACTTGGGAGGCAGAGGCAGGCGAATCTTTGTGAGTTCAAGGCCAGCCTGGTCTACATAGTGAGTTCAGGTCAGCTGGGGCTACAGGAAGACCCTGTCTCAAAAAGACAAAAAAAAAAAAGCCCCTCTACTTTGCCAGATAGAGGTAGGAATCTTGTTTCCTTTGAACATACACTTATCCTGCCTTCTGAGCAGCCCATCAAGAAGCCTGGAAGGTGAGGGGTTGAGGATGTTGCTCAGTTGGTAGAGTATCTTCCTAGCCCTGGGTTCAGCCTCCAGCACCTCTTCTGACCTCCCAATCTTCCTCCTTACACTTCTCATTCTGACCTCTGTGGAATGACACGGGTCCACTTACGTACATGTGCAGGCACCGCATTCATACACATAAAAATAATAGTGAAAAAATAAAGAGGAAAGTGATTGAGGAAAACATCTGATGGTGACCTCTGGCTCCACAG